TGCTGCGCCCCTGCCGCCCGCCAGCCGCCTCTGGGAACGATGTCCCTCGGTGTCCTCGTGCTCGGAGGGCTGCTTGGCCCCCGAGGGTTCCGGCATCCCAGGGAAGGCATACACGGAGCTCCAGCCTGCTCCGCGTTCACCCTGGGGACACAACCGGTGGAACCCGGGCTGATGCTGACCCATCCTGGGGCAAGGAGGGAGTGGAAGCCATCCCGGTTCTGCCGAATCACACAGAGCTGGGATGCGGGGAGGAGGGAGGCATGTTCCTTTCACTCTTCAAGGGAAAGGTGATCTGGTTCAGGGACTTCAGGGACCTTCATAAGAACTGGTAGGTAGGTAAGAACCTACCTACCATAAGAACCTGCGTGGTAGGTATGCCATTTTCCCAGCAAGGGAAAAATCTGCTGGCACTGAGCTGTCAGAGCCACAGCAAGCTGCTTTGGCCTCTGGAAGTGATTGAGGTAGCCCCAAGACTTGCTCTCTATGGACAGAAATTTTCAGAGCTGCAGGACAGCAAGGGAGGTTATTTCCCACAGAGGGACTAGGAAGAGCTTAGGGATCGAAGAGAACAAATCGATAGGAAACCAGGCTTCATCCATTCTACTGCCTGTAGAATAGCACGTGCTTCAGAAGTAGAGCAGAACACAGGCTAAGAAACTATAGGCATTAATGACAAGATTTTTGGCTGAAGAAAGGGGTGTTCTTGGTTGAAAAAAGTCAGCCAATGTGGCCTCATTGAGGGAAATCCAAAATACTAGTGAAATTCCCAAGTTTATTATACACATAATAGGCAGTCTATTCTGTGGCTTGAGAATCATGGAGGAAAAAAACAACAGCAGCACTAGTTAGAACTTTCAGACTTGCTTCATACTCAACAAGATATCCATACTGATTGTTTTACTTCAGCCCCTAACAGTATGAAGCCCCATCTGCCGAAACTTGTGATCTGGAGACCCCGAGATTACACGAGAGCTCCAGATTTTGCGTTTGAAATACTTCAACATAAATGTAACATAACTGGATACAGTTTCTCTCTCATTAGCAGCAGGGAACTGGAACAGCTTTCGAGGCGTCATTTGCTCCATGCATTTTCCATGTTCACTGCAACATCCTCTGCTGTTGGAGACCTGTCAAGATCAGCCCAGCAGAGGAGTTTGGTCATGCCCAGAGAGAGAACTTCAGTACACAGCACTGGGCGGTGCTCACCAGCACTACTGGGGAGAGAGCGAAACTAACACTAAGGAAGGGGAAAAATGTCACCACTGCCAGGGTCAGAGCATACAGCTATGAGCTCTTTCTGATTTTACATGATAATAAATATTGTATGTGACAACAAATGTAGACTCAACTACTGTGGGGGCCATGCTCTGGACAGAAGGGTGCTGAAAACCAGTGACTGATTCTGATTCTGGCAAGCTAGTATAAATCAAGGCATTTAGGTGGATTTGCAATGAATGTGTCTGTAGACAGATTATTTCTTATGCAGCTATACAGCTAGCTATCACAGGAAATTACATAGGCATAAATCTAATTTCAATATGCTTTGTAGACAATTACTAAATATCAATATGTTAGACATGAGAATTTACATTGCATATAAAGGATTTTATGTCTAGCAAACTTTGGGTCTGAAGAGTCAGGTGACACCAGTTATTGCATGCCCAGTGTTTGCTTTGCCTCCTTGCTCACCATCTTTCTGCATAAAGGAAGCCTATTCCAGGAATGAATCAAAGGAGAAGAGATCCTCCTGGACTCCCAAAAGAAGTTACTGAGGAGATTGGGAAGAGCAAAATGTAGGACTAAGAGTTAACTAAGAAGAGTGAGAAAAAAAAAAAAAACCAAAACAAAAACACCCCAAGAAAAAAACCAGAGATTTCTGCTGTAGATGTTCTAAAATATGATAAGAATCTGAATTTTATATAAGTATTTTAAGTATTAGAGCAATATGGAAGAAGCACAAGAACATCATCACGTGACTAAAACAAGTTCTGAAACAAAAATAATGGGAAACAGGGAACCAAAAACTACAGAACTGCTCTCGGCAGTAATAATGCTCTTATGGCAAAGTAATGGGTGAAGACTTATTGGGAATTGAAGTATTGCCAGTAAACAGCAGTTCCCTGGGGATAATGTCCAAACACATAAATCAGAGGAAATTCATCAAGAGAAGGTACAGTAACGAGGCTAATGTAAAAATCATAAAGAATCAATTATTTGCATTCACAAAGAAGTTTGTACAACATGTAAAGAATATGAAAGTAAAAACATGTTTTGTCAAACCTTTTCAAACATTTTTGGGGTGTAAATGCGATGGGAAGACTGAACATTCTGAGCTGAAATAGTTAAGGTGCAAACAATTCTCTCTGGACATACAGATAAGCCCCAGCAGGGAAAAAAAAAATCTACAATCAACAAGGCAAATGAATAAGTTTACTGCTAGCCATAAAACTTGCAGCAAAATTTTCATGGAAGAGTTCCTTTTATGCAGTCCTCTTGTTTCTTTCAGGTTGAATAACAATGGAAGTTAAAATAATTTGTTATGATTTTTTAGTATTTAGCGAGTTATAATTTCAATTGCTTGAGGAGTTTCAACCAAAGATAAGTAAGTAACCAAACAAGTCATAAGTCTAATTACTTATCTAGAAATATCTATTGTGTCCTTAGTTGTCCAAATTAAAACAAAAGATCAGGAGAATAATCAATGGCTTTTAAAAGTTTATTTTTAAAAACAGAAAATTTTTTCTTCACCTCAAGAAGTATTCAAAATATTAATTAAACCTTTCAAAAAGCACTAAGAGAAAAAGACTAACCACAACAATATGCAATTGTCCACAAGAATTCACATAATAGTGAATGTAATAACAGAAATTTAGGGTGTATCTCTTGCTCTCTGAAATATGTTTGAAATGCAGGTAATATTTAGTTCACCTAAAATACATGAGCTTATTGAAGGACCATTTTTACATATAGAGAATCCCTAAAGAGGTAAGATATGATGAAGTATTTAACACCTGTATAGTTATTAAAAGGTATTCTTATTTTTAGTGATGATATATACATTACAGAAAAAACAGAGCTATTAAATTTGCCAAATATTTAAAATTCATCTCATAGAAACTTTTCCTTTTTTTTTTCTTTTGTGTGTAAAAAGCAAAAATCTTAAATGGAAATAGAGTGGGAAGACTGCATTTTCAATAAGTTAAACAGCTTCCCAAATTCACACTTTCAGAGTAAAAATAAAGTCTCAAATAATGTATTTCAGAATAAAGTTACTAGTTCTAGAAAAAGCCAAAGCTTACATATTCTAAAGAAAGAAAATCAGAAGAATATGATAGGAACCATCATGTACAAATACTTTGGACACAGACAGGAAATTTGCTTAAGGAGAGGAAGAATCATCCAAGCTATAAAACATACTCCCTGCGAATAGCATTGGACCTATGGGGTCATTGTTCACCATTGTTTTAACTGTGCATAAAAACTGTGCACTGCGCTGCAAGACCTCCCCAAAGTTCTCACATTGGCTGCTCTTTCTCTCCTTTATTAGCACAAATATTTTTAAATATTATTATTCAGCCTATTGCACTACCACTGCCAAGGATTTTTTTTGTTTAAATAAATGTGTTTGGATTGAAAGTCTCTTTATTTGAGACAGCTGCACAGTGCATGCAAAACATGAAATGAGCCACACCCTATTTCCCTGGGGCCAAAGGGTCCTCAGTGCTTCAGCAGGAACCCTGTTTTACAGGGAAGCTTTGGGTCAAGAGGGAAGCTGGGTGTTCAGTGCAGGGGCAGAGAGATCAAGGAGTTGAGAGGAAGAACCCTAAAACTAAAACAAAATAAAACCACAGACTTGATGGCTGAGATAGAAACTGTTGCCTATTTCAGGGATCTTCTATTATGCTGATAATGCTGTGAAATTCTCCTAGTGACAGGTCAATAAAATGAGGCAGCATTCAGTGGATTACTTGGGCAAGACCTCATCTGCACCAGTTTGCAGATCTCTGTAGAACATGTGTGTGCACCCATAGACAAAATACACACACAAAATGCCTGCTCAAAAGGTCACATACAAGCCAGGATGGACAGACAAACAGAGTCAGAACACGCATGTCAAAGCCATCAATCAAAATATTTGCTTGCTGTATGTATGCATTGCTGGCATATAATTTTTCTCTTCAACTAAATAGCAAGCATGAACTGCAGGCAGTGGAGATAAGGTACATAAAGGAAACCTAAGCCAGGAAGCTTAGCTGTCAGAAACTATTGGAACAAAATTGCATTCTGCTCACAAAGTATGGTATGATGTTAAGGAAGATATGTTATGTTGGAAACCTGACTAATTTTTCAGAATTTCATGCAGACACAATGAATTAAAATACTGAGTTGCAAATACTTTTTGAAAGTTTGTCAAAATTATGGCATATTCTGAAACAATGAAGTAAATTCCTCATAAAGGTAATGCAGCTGGTCATAGTAGACAAAGAGAAGACCATGATTAAAATTCTGAACCAAGAAGTCAAGCAGATATTATGTTGTGAAATTAATCGATGTCACTCTACACTGTAGCTACTTACTACCATTTGGTTTTAATAATTTTTTCAAGGTTGTTTCTGTTTCTATGCCTGAAAGGACCACAGTAAACATACATAAGTTCAGTGATACTGGGGAAGAATTTCCTTTTCTCTGATGGTATTTCTAATATATGTCTTCCCTTTCATTAAGACAGACATAAGTGTCTTCACACAAAAGACATACTTTAAAATTCAGTTTTCTTTTTCTCAGAAGTATGACTTTCTTGTGATTCACATCAGTAAGATTTTACAGTAGAAAATAAGTATTTTACCTCTTAAATTGCCATGAAAAAAACCATCATACTTGGGGATTTGAGATGCCACCATCCTCACACTTTGATAATGCAGATTATGAGTGAGTCAGCTGTTTCTAGTTTTATGGATTGCTTGACTACTTGCATTTCTACAGTTCTGAGAGGCGTTTGATTACGATGGCATTTTTACAGTTTTCCTTATTACATGATCCTGAATTACATATGAGGTAGAGATTTGCTCATGTGTCATGTTATGTGTCCAAATAGATTACATCCTATCACTGCTTTAAGAGCAATGGAATATTTTGTTACCTGGCCAATTTGTAGTTCTATATCATTGCTCATTAGCCATATTATACTTACTTTACTAGTTCCACAGGTACATTACATGCTCTAACGGTTTCCTAGGCTTTGTTTGGCAAATGCTTAGTTCTGAGTCTTGAAGAACAATGACTCTAAGTAATTTATCTCTTTTGTTTCACATTATATGATGAGTAGCATCAATAAACCTTGTATCTCCTTTGTGGTGTTGCTGGTGTTATGAGATCATCAGCAGTGGAGACTTATGTTAGAGAAGTTTCATAGATGTTGATTCCTGACATGTGTACTCCTGCCTTATCTGCCCTTTTTGGTGGGCCTGTTCTGTTCCTTTTCTTGTCTTCTTTATTTGAAAGTAATTAATTTCTTCATTCATTAGGGCTTTTCCCTGTAATTTAAAATTATTTTAATCTTTGAGCAATGTAACATTGACCTATACAAATTAGCACAGAACTGATGTAAACGATTTTCTTGTCAAAATCAATGCATTTTTCACTGACTGGAGAAAGATGCAGTTTGGACAAATCTTCTGAACAATTACCACACAGAGAATCTTGGTTTTATTTTGTCCCATCCTATCTTCCAAACTAAGCTTTCTCCATTATCTTATCCTAATGAACTGTTTGAAAGGCTTAGGTAGTTCTTTCATTGGTGAAGAAATCAAATCCTGTATTTTCTAAAGAGCTTGGTACTGCATCATCCAGGAGAATATTCCAGCAAATTATTAATTTCAGAAGAAATTTGATTATTTTTCCTTGGCTTGATCATCAGTCAGTGACAGAAATCCCTGAGTGATCATACCAGTATAAATGCCTAGGATGCCAGCTGAAGATGATAATGACCATCAGATGACAGCAGCAGAATTCAGAACAAATAATTTTCCCTCTCATTTTTTAAACCCCATCAAATATTTCCTATGTCTTATAAACCTCTTAAAATAAGTGTTGCATCTTTTGCTGATAGGCTTCTAGTTCGATTCATGATATTTTTGTCTGGAGTTTCAAACCATTAGTAGAAATTGATAGCATAACCATCAGCTACATAACATCAATTGGTAGGATCAACATGTTGAGTAGCTTATCTCAAAGACTCAAAACTGGAGTGATCCTGTCACTAATTTGACAATATATGAGCATGCACTTTGATCTGGTAAGTATGACCCAATTTTCTTCCATCATGAATAATGTATTGCATTAATCACTCTTGCCATTCCCTTCTTCCAGGCTCTGAAATCTTGAAAAGAGTCAATTGCACCATCCAGCTTTATTGACAACAGCAAACTTCTCATACTGTTATAATGCAAGAATGGCTGTAAGCTGTTTTGACTGGACCAAAATTCTCCTTATCCATGCATCTTCATTCTGCTGACGGCCACTGTAAGCTCCTTTATGCTTAAGAAAATTATTTAACATAAATGTAGGTGACACATGCTTAAATAGTTAAATATTCTACATGCTATCTGTAATGAAAGAAGTATCCCTGAATACATGCCCTGTCCAGGAAATTGTTCTATTATTTCTGTAATGATAAATATGCAATTTTTTTTTTTTGCTATGAATGGTACTTTCCCAAAGAAAAAGTGTCCATAACGGCAGCCAAGACTCTTGTTTGCTGTAGACTTTCTCCAAGTGTAATAAGTTTGGCCCTTTGCCATGATGATCTGGCAATCTGGATTTGTCAGTGTATCACAGCCAAAAAGCTGTATAACTTGGAAGATAAGAATGCCACTGCCTAAAACCAGGGGATTACTACATTTTAGTGGCATTTGATAGTTTTATACTCCTTTTAAGTTTTCCTAGTCTTCTCATCCCCAAACCATTCCATAACAAGTGCCCTGTCCTGCCATTGAAGTCACTGGTCTTATAGATAGGGACACAACACGATATCACTGAGTGACGAAGTTTAAGATTTTTTCTTTTCCTTTTTGCCTTGCTTTAGATGTTGTAAAATCAATTTAACCTAGAAAATATTTCAGGATTTCCTGGGGGGCTGAAACTGAAGAGAAGACACACAAGAAATTCACATTTTACGCACAAAGATCTTAAACTGAAAGACTAATTAGTGCTGTCAGGAGATGGGAAATGGGTGTTTGTAGGGGAAAAGACTGAACTTTGAGTCCTGTATTTCATTGAAGAGAGACACCGCTTTGGAGCTAAAGGAGACACAAAGTAGGACGGTGTAAGTAAAGGCTGGAGTATCAGGTACACGGAGGGGGGCTGACAGAGGGACCGCGCCAGGCTGTAGGAAGTTGCGCTGTGAAGCAAGAAAAGGGAATTTTTGTGTCAGGTGAAAATAAGCCCCATAGCGAAGGAATAAGCCCCATTCTGCCATGACCGCGGGCAGAGACACGTAATGCGGGGACATTTAATGTGCGGCAGCCAGTAACGGCGCGGAACGGCTGCAGCCCAGAGCGCAGAAATCCCTGGCGTGGGGGTAGGAGCCGTGAGGACACCGGCGCTGCCGGGCCGCGGCGGGGAGACACCACTGGGGCTGCCAGCGGGGCAGGAGAGGCGCCGAGACCCCCGACTCAGGCTGGGACAACCCTCGCCGGCTCCGAGGAGCGCGGCCCAGCCCGGCTCCCCCTTCACGCCGTGCGAGAGCGGCCGGGGCGCTGCGGCCGCCCTGGGCCGGCCTCCTCCTGCCGGCCGAGTCCCCTCCTCCCCGCTGCCTTCCCGGCGGCGGAGGGGCGGTCGCGGGCGGCCGAGCCGCTCGGGGCCCGGCAGCGCTGCCCATGGGGGAGAGCGGGGTGCCCCCTCAGGTCCAGCTCTTCCTCCGCGCCTGCGAGCAGGGCGACTGCGAGACCGCCCGACGCCTCCTGGGGCTGCCCGGCGGCGGCGGCGACTCCGCGGCCCCCTCCTCCTCGTCGTGCGGCCCCGAGGAGACGGCGACGGAGCCCCGCGGCGAAGGGTCGTCCCCGCCGAGCCCCGCAGTGCCCGTGGACTGCACGGACGAGGCCGGCAACACGGGGCTGCAGTTCGCCGCGGCCGGGGGGCACGAGCAGCTGGTGCGGTTCCTGCTGCGGAAGGGCGCCTCGGTGCAGAGCAGGAACCACTACGGATGGAGCCCCCTCATGCAAGCGGCCAGGTACGGGAGAGAGGGAGCGAGGGAGAGATCAGGGCCGAGGTGCGGGTCTCCCACCGCCATCCCGCTTCGCCGCGGAGCGCCGGCCTAGTCGGCGGCAGTCCCGGGGCGGGGAAGGGAGGGAGGGCCGCCGGGGCTCTGCCTTCCCCGCCCCCGGGCTGCCGCAGGCGCTCGGCTCCCTCGCTCTCCGAACCGCGGTCCCCGGGCCGAGGGAGGGCGCCGGGGAGCTCCGGGCGGGCCAGCGTGGGAGAGAGGGCGGGCGCCATGTTGAGGGCCGCCGTGGGTGGGTGCCAGCCGAGCCCGGAGTTGTCCCGGGGATCGGAGCGGGCGCCTGTTCCCGTCCCTGGGCTGGGGTGAAGAGGGGCTGTCCTGTGTAGAATTGGCTAAGTGTTATCCTGGGGCATTAGAAACTTTTCATGTTGAGAATGTGGTATTTGAAGCACTGCTTGCTGTTCCTTGGTTTAGCCAGCGCAAAATTGGAGCTAACGTGAACACGAAACACTGCTCTCCTCTGTGACAATAGGTATATGCACGTAGCCTTACTTAATTTTGCATGATTTTTTTTTTTTTTTTTTTAATCTGTGTGTGTCTTGTTGAAAACTACGTCTGATGTAAGACATACTGAAGCGAACTGAAACAATTTCTCTTAGTTTGCCCATGTGTGCCTAGGTGGCTTGCCAGTGGCTAGGGAAAATCATTGCTGAGGGTTTTTGATGACAAAACACTTGTTTTCTGCTCTCCTCTGTGTCACCCACTGCTGGGCCGTGGGAGGTTCCCGTGTTGCTAACGCTGGGGTTGGTGCTTGTCTTTATTCCTACAAGCACACCTTGGGCTCACTGGCGTGTTTTGCAGGGTTGGAGGGCATTGCTGTCCTATAATAACTGAATGCTTAATCAGGAGAATGTTTTTTGTTATTCTGGTGGTGTTTTGTTTTGTTTTGGTTTTTTTTTTCTGGTTTTTTTGGGGGGGGCGGGGAGGGAATTTTTGTTTGTTTGTATTTGTTTGGGTTTTTTGTTGGCTGTTTTTTTTTTTTAATTTCATAACTTCAAAATACTTGGAAGAAAATAATCTGTTTCAAAGTCAACATTTCTCTTTTCAATTAATGGCCATATAAAGTTCCCAAAGAATGAGTCACACAGCTGGTTTCCCAGTAAGAACAAGGAAGACAAGGTTCAACAATGTAGTTATTTTATGAAGGTTTAAAGAAAAGGAAAAAAATTGCAGAGACAGATTTTTTTTCCCTTAATGAAAACCATACGCTCATTCCCTAAAAACAATAAAGTCAGATGACTAAAACACTCACTGATTTCAAGAAATTACTGGCTGACATTTGAAAAGTGTTGTATATATTGCTGAAAAGTGTAAAGTAAAAGAGCATATTTTCTCTTCTTTTTAATGGATAACCAGAAAGGAAGCCTGGTGTTTGTACAAAGGTAGGCTTCAGACTTAGGTAGCTGTTTCATTTTCTGGCTGTGATTAGCTCTATTGCAGCTGGACAGGAGGTAGCATATATGCATAAAATCAACTGTGTGCAGGGGTTGCAGGCTCTACTGGGGTGATGCAGTGAAGGTACAGGGTAGATTTAGGGAGTGCACAAGCTCCAGAGGCTTCCTCCTGCCACTGTATACTCTCTGGAAGGAAACAAAGGACTTTGAGGATGTGGTTGCTTTAAGTGGTCAGTAGCATTCTCTGGGGTTTCCTCGACTAAGGTTTGCTTTGCTGTAATGTACAGAAGTTGCCTTCAGGGTCAGAGTTGGGTTGTGCTAACCACAATGTGCATGGGCATGCAGTAGTGCATGATGCCTGCCTGCCACAAGAGCACGATGCACACATCTCGTCGAGGTATTATATTTATTAAAATATGGGGTTGCCATTTTCTCACTGATAATTGGCAACTCTAACCCTAACCCCAACCTCCTGCTTGTCTGATTGCCTTTTGCTTACTGACAAACTAGCTGAGCCTCTGATGGTCAAGTGATATCAAAGCTAGGTTTCTGGTAAAGCTGGTGTCAGAGTTCAGTACTCTGACCAAGTTCTTGTAGACATTTCACACAAGGAGGGTTTGGTGCCATATTTCTTTCTTGGCAGATACTTAATATTACACAGGGTTTTAATTTAGCTTGTAATACAGCAGTGTCTTGAAATCATAGCGCAAGCCTGACATAGCAACTGCAACAGACAGTCGAATCACAAGACACCTTGGCACACCCATTACCAGTCCCCGTATGCTCATCATCACAGTGCTGGGTGTTGGAAGGAATGGGTTAAAAACCTTAAGACTGTTGAGGAGGACTGTAAATCACTCAAGTGACCTTGCAGCCAGGAATAATTCTTGATAAGTCTTGCGTGAACTGCAGGCCATTGGTCCTTTAGCATGAACTGGTTATGGTGCCTGCTTCTCCACTTGTGTATCTCTGCATGTGTGTTGCTTTGGGGATCCCCAGGTTCACGAGGTAACAAGTAAATTTACTCTTTGCATTCTAGCTGAGTGAGTTTGTGGTTGTTCTGTCTGCCTGCTTTTGTCAACTTACTCACTGGGTATCCCCAATTATTAGGAAGGAATACTTGGCTAGAAGCCAACTCACAAGCACCTTACTTTTTTAACATTTATTTTCATTTCATTTTGGTGCTCGGTGTTGGGCTGAACCGTGTTGATGCTTCCCCCCATGCTGGTGTGTGTGACTGAGGAGCAGAATAATTTCCATTGATTGTTTTAGGGAAGGCCATTCACATGGCCAGTTGTCCCACTGCTGGTAAGCCATTTCTCTTAAAGGTCCTCTCTGGTCCCCTTGGTGTTGAGGGAAGTTCAGCTAACTTTACAACAGTCATGGCCACTCACCGTGTTCTTCTCTGAGCTTCATGGACACATCTGTAATCCCTAAGTCTTCTTATATTGTGGGAGTTCATTGATGGTTCACAACTAGAAAACAAGGGATAATGCAAATATAGAAGACTGACTCTCCAGTTGATAAAATGGTCTTTTTCTTCCTTAGTTAGCACGGACTCTGCAGTTTTTACTCCAGTTGTTCAGTAGTAATGATGGTACTTAATAAAGATCTCTGGAAACAAACTGGCTTTGATCTGTTAATGTGATACATCTGTGGAAAAAGAGCCTGAAAGTGACACTGGTTTGTGGAAGTTATGAGTTGGTGCTTTGGTGGCCTGGAGCAGAAAATGAGGCTGGCACTTCGCTGCTTTGAGCAGACCATCCTCTTTGATAGGTGCCTGCTTTATGAGCACGGCCACTGGTGCATGTGGAATGGTTTTGTTTACAGTCCTCAGCTGATGGGTGGTCTCCTCCAGCAAGGTGCCCATTGTCACATTCAGAGATGCTTGTATGATCCCTCACAGTGTATGTATTAGTCAATAGGCAAATTTGGTAATGAAGTTTTCTAGGTGCAGAGTATGTTGGTTTTTGCAGTCCAAGGTGTTAATTCTCCCTTGTGTCTCTGTCTTCCAAGGTTTGGACATCTAAGCGTGGCCCACATCTTGCTGGAGAATGGTGCTGATCTCAATGCACAGAACAAGTTAGGAGCCAGTGTCCTCACAATGGCCTCCAGAGGCGGTCATGTCAGCATGGTGAAATTGTTGCTGGAATCTGGAGCTTTTGTGGACAATTACGACCATTTTAGCACAAATGTACTTAACAGCAGCAGAGATGACCTTCCTGATATCACTCCGCTGATGGCAGCTGCTCAGCATGGACATGAGGCAGTGGTGCATCTGTTGCTAGACTGGGGAGCTGATTGTAACTACACTATAAAGACAATGGGCTGGAGCCCTTTAATGCTGGCAGCTGTTAGTGGCAAGGTGAGCATGGCACAGCAGCTCGTGGAGAAAGGTGCCAACCCTGATCACTTGAATGTACTACATAAAACACCTTTTGAAATCTCTGTTGGCTTCAAACACAAAGACATGAAGGACTATTTGGAATCTCTCACCACTATTAGGCCTCAGGCAGGTATGGAATTATTTTTTTGTCTCTCTTTAGAAATTGAGGAGCTCATTTTGTATGGGCATGAGGTTCTTTGTAATTTGTAGCTGGATTTTGAAAATGTTGGAGTAGGCACACCTACTTCAGCTGAGGTACAAGTGCCCAACTTCAGCAAATTTTTTCCATGTTAGCAGGATAAGATTCCTGTCTGTATGTGGCTGTTTTAGGAACACTTTTCAAGGTATTTATGCAGGCCAGCACTGGGAAGTGCTTAACAAGAGGGTTTGGAAGAGCTGGATTTTCCCGCTTTGTACGGTTTGCTATAAAAGATAAGGATGTGGCTAGCTCTAGAAAGATCATTTTCCACTGCCATATGGACATGTCCAAAACTGTTGTCTACATTTGGTGTCATTTCTGCAGGTCAAGCTTCCCTTGTACTTGAAGAAGTAAGAACAAAAATCAGACATCTGTTTCTGCTGTAGAGAAAGTGTGAACTCAGATATTGACTTACAGGTTAAGTTTGGACTCTAGAGCTTTCATCCAGCCATGCTGCCAGGCAGGACTGATTGATTGTAGATGTTTGTTCGTGACCTTGAGGAACAGACATCAGTTGCTTACAGTATACAGAATCAGAGATCCATGGAATTCACGAGTGTCCATGTGTTTGCATATACAGGATGTATGTTCAGGCAGAGTTGGCCTCAACTTAAAGTATTGAAGGATTCTGTTTAAGTGAGAAGACTGGACTTGCTTTAAAGCAGATAGATATTTGTCACCACTGCTGAGGGGGAATTTCCATCATCAGGAGGGTAGTAACCCATTTGTGCAGAGAGAGGAGTAAAAACATTATTCTTCCACACAAATTTCTGCATTGGTTTTTGACCACACTTCGTCTCCTCCTAGCGCTGGAATCTTGAATATCTTGTGAAGAAGAAAGATCATTTTTGTCATATGGAAGACAGGAAAGAAGGAACTTTTTTTCTGATCCATTGCCGTAGATAGGGTGAATTGCCTCCTAGGAGAAAGCAGCTCTCTTCTCTTCCCACAGCTATTCTCAGCAGCAAATTTACTGCCTGGAATGGCTTGAGTGTTACCTGCCTTCTGTCCCTGTCCTTACTTAGGCTTGCCCAGATCAGTCTTTCCTTCTGGCATCTTCTCATGGTCTCCTGCACCCTGAAGCTGCCTCTCCTCCAGGGTTTTCACGTGACAAGAATGGAGGCTGGTCCTTTCCTAAAGTAGTCTTTTGAAATCTGTTTTGCAGTGGTGAGCTCATACACACAGTTCCTTCTATAAGAGCAGTTTCTGAATCAGGAGAAAATGTGGGACCCATCACTCTCTTTCCTGGTCTTAGAATAAGAGTTTCTTGGAGTATTTTGGGATTTTCAGCAATTTCTTTTGTTCAGCATATTAAGGTGACTTCCTTTGGAGTAAAGCTGTGAACATAAACCTTTTCTGTATTTCATAAAAATGCCAGAATTGGCTCACGAAATCTCTCAGTGTCTCCTTGTTTTCCATAAGATTTTGTTACCCCATGGATTCTGTAGTAATAATTTGTCCACAATAATTTCGAGGATAGAGGATGGTATTTTCTGGTATGAGTGGAAGGTGAAAAATATGTCACTATTTTTTCCTCATCTTATATAGTGTCAGAATTTTCAAAGCACTGTTAATCCATGTAAAAAAGAATGATTCTTCACTCCAAGTATTACAATTTGTAATAATTACAGTTCTTATTATGGGAATGATTATCTGGGAGCTGAAGAATATTAATTCACAAGTAACAAGCTGCATAGTTAAATTGACACTATTATTTTAGTGACCTTTACAAATTAACCTGGAAATACTCAAGAGGAAATAAAAATGGAGCAGCTTGTAAAACTCTGTTTGAGTCACCTTTCAAAATAATCCCATACAATTTCAGTGTTCACTGTTGTACAGGCGATTTTACCAGACCACAAAGCCATACTGTAATTCTTTAGTGGATATTTTAGACATCCAGGCAGGAAAAAAAGAGTTTGCAAATATAGTTGCCTGATGAAGAATGGAAATTGAAAAGCCTGTGTTGGTGCCTTATTATAGTTTCTAGCTTTGGCTCTGCTCAGAGAACTATACAGGTGATTCATTCTTCCCAAAGGTAATACAGAACTTGTCAGTACTTTCTTTGTTCTTATTAAGTATATGCCTAAACTTGTGTTTTATAATACTTTAAATTTTTAATAGTTTTTTGTATAAAAATTCTACTAGAGATTTTTTGCTATTTTTTTGATTGCTTATGTAAATGTTTATATTTCTTTCAGATGCAGAAAAGAGGCAACCTGATGTCTTTCATGCTTTAAAAATGGGTAAGTACTGTCATGATTCTTCCACCCTGTCTAGTTTTTCTAACTTCAGAGCATGTCTGTCTAGTTTTTCTAACTTCAGAGCATGTCTGTTAGCTAGTGTGGGAAACACGATTTTTCTGTTCCTGCTCGTCACATGTGAGCTACCAAAACATCTTCCTGGGAAAGCCTCAAGTCTGTTAGATTTTTAGAGTGATCATGTGCCCTTCTTGTACCCCTGTGATTTTTGAGATTTACAGATGTTAGTGCTGGATCAGAAGTAGTGTAGGAGAGGCCAAATGAATACTGGTCGGCACATTGGGTTTTGGCTTTTTTTTATTTGGCTATGGATGTCAGCACTGTTAAAAAAGCAACTCACTAGGTTAAGGAGTGTCCAGGGTTCAGAGGGCATTCTGTAGGTGTTTCTGTAGGTTCCTGGGTTTCTGTTTAACAAAGTTTGCTGTGAGTCTGTGTTAAAAAAGCCACCCACTGTCTTTTGCCAAATTGGAACGTATGAAAAGTAGTCCTGTTCCAAGAAATTAGCTGAGTGGCATTGGTGGGTGTGAGTTTCAGTGAGTGCATTCAAGTGGCTGCAGGATTTGTCTGGGATTCTGAACGACTTTCCAAGGAAAATGTTCATGCCTGTGATGGAGTTGAAAGCAGCCTATGCTGTGAAGCAGTTTACCATCTGAAGGGTTTTATTAAAGGTGAAAATTTTTCCATTTGCGTGGAAGTTGTTGATTTGCTTGTTCTTGCCCCTGTTCCTGTGGTGGTACACACAATCACAGAGATCTTTTGGTTTTTTTTCCTTTCTCTTCTTCCCTGGTTTTGCCTGCCATAGGACAGCAAAAAGGATGTAGGTGAGCTTAGGCTCTCTGTTTAAGGCAATCCTGACTACCTCATATGTTTTGTAAAAGCAGCCCTACGGCAAGATTTAGGAAATACCCTCGACCTTGTTCAAATATATTCAGTAATAAATTTCATACTGCTTTTTGTAATCTAGACAAGAACTCAAGTGACTTCCAGCTCCTTTATGTGGAAACCTGAAAATTAGATTAACTTTTAAGGAACTGTAAAGCAGACTAATGACAACAAATGATTTTACTCTTAAGCAAGGAGTAGGGACATTTTGTGTTGGAGGTGTAGTTTGAATACTGGAGGCAGAAAAAGAAAATAATTCGGAACATAAGAAAGGTGAGCGCTGTAATAAACTCCTTTGAGGTTGTGGAATTCTATCAGTAAAGGTTTTTAGAACCAGTGAACTACCTTTGTAAGAGGAACTTACTGGTCAGTGTGAGACAGGGCGTTATTCTACCTGTTCAAGGCAAGGGATGACCTCCACCACCTTTTAGAGTGCCTTTCTACCCATCTACTTTGATTCTAAAATTATTTATTCTGTGATTGAAGCCTGTGAAAATGGAACAGGGATCTTTGAAAGAAAAATAATGGTGCCTGAGCATCATCAATTTTTCTTGCAGGATATCGTCTTATGGCAATTTAATAGAAATATTCCCTATTTGTGTCTTCACATGCAGGATGCACTGCAGTTTATACAACCCTTCATTTAGTCGTTAGTCGTTCATTTCAGAAAATAATTATTGTAAATGGGATTATGCCATAAGTGTACAGGTAGAGAAAATGAGGAAAATACAGTGCCTCATGCAATTCTATGTCAGCTGGAAAAATGTACTAATTAATTAACATTTAAGTTATGTTTTATTGCTGTTTTACAGGAAACTTTCAGCTGGTTAAAGACATCATTGATGAAGATGTGAGTCAGGTTAATGTTACCACTGTTGATGGTGCATCTCCTTTAATGATTGCGGCTGTAACTGGACAGCTGCCCCTTGTTCAGTTCCTCGTTGAGAAAAAGGCTGATATTGATAAGCAGGATAATGTTCATGGCTGGACAGCACTAATGCAGGCCACGTACCATGGGTAAGATATGTGCCCTCTTTGTGTCTAGCAGTAAAGAAGTTTAATTTTTCTTACATCCCAGTAGAAAAAATGCTCTTTGATACTGACTGTAGAAGCAGAGAGGTCTTAAAAAAAATTAAGAGACTCATGACCTCAGTTTCTCATGACTCTTGCACTGCCCTCAGCTTTTTGGAGCAGATCTGAATCATGTTTTAATCACCATAGTATGAGAAAGACATTAAACTACTAGAGAATGTCCACAGGAGGGTAACAGAGATGGTGGAGGGCCTTGAGGGGAAGCTGTGTGAGGAGTGGCTGAGATCACTTGCCTGTTCAGCCTGGAGGAGAGGAGTCTGAGAGGAAAACTCATTGCAGTCTACAACTTCCTCATGGAGGGAAGAGGAGGGACAGGCACTGACATCTTCTCTGTGGTGATCAGTGACAGGACCGGAGGGAATGGCCAGAAGTGTCAAGGCGAGGTTTAGGTTGGATATTAGAAAAGTTCTTCGCTTAGAGAGTGGAAGGTGCTCCCCAGGGAAGTGGTCACAGCACCAGGCCTGACAGAGGTCAAGGAGTGTTGGATCAAAGCACTCAGAGACATGGTGTGACTCTCGGGGATAGTGCTGTGCAGGGATTCTGCAGTCTTGAATTCAACTGCCCTTGTGGGTCCCTTCTAACTCAGGTTATTCTGTGATTCTGTGATGTTTGGATTTTAGAATGGGTAAAGCATTTGGGAACCTGAAGCAGGCTTAGTAGGTACTGGGAACATGGTGCTCCAGGCAGTCCCCAGGAGCCTTGGTGTGTACTTCAGCTTCCATCCTTTGATGTTTTTCAGTATTATGAAAGATTCTGTCACCCTTCCTGCCAGGGTTTTAAGTCTACATGAAGTTATGAAACTTCAAGGCAATCAGCTTTCCATGTACCGAATTTTCCAGTCGTAAAACCATTTCTGTGTTCTCTTGTTCTGCCTTTAGTTTTCATCGAGTTTTTGGAAATGCAGCCAAAATAATTTCATTTTCTGTAAAGCTCCTTCGTAAATCTAAGTAGCTGCTTAGGACTCAGACCTCAGAAATTGCCCTGGCTGGTACTTCACATGTGATATCTATCATATACTTAACACTGTTTGAATACAGGATATTCAGTTCTGGAAGGTGAACTTTTCTTTGTTGTAGATAAGGCCTGCAGCAAGGTGAAGGTTCTCTTAAGCGGTAGTGCATTAATTGTATAAAGGCAGTATTCTGCACCAGATTTTTTTTTTTAGTCAGCAGATCTGCTTGGACTATATAAATGCAACAAAAAGGAAAAATAGGAGGTCAAGTTGTCATTGCCTTGTGAAACTTTTCTGAAGTAGTTCTTGGGACCTTTATTGATAATAGTGACAGAAGTGCACTAAGATCAGATTTTCTGGTGCAGCTGTTTCACTTAGCATCAGTCACATAGTACGCAGCTGGAATAGGAGCAGCCAGCACAAAGTGATGGGCAGGGCTGCTAGCTTGTCCCCTTGGTGGTACTCAGGTACTTGTTCGTGGAAGCACATACAAGAGTTAGTCCTGCATCTGTTCAGATACTGGCTGTTCAGTTTACTGGAGGACGGGATTATGAAAAGTCTTTTCCCTAATATATCAGTCAACTTTGTAAGTTTGAAACTTCGTAAGTTAATTTTGTTAATATGCTTAACATTTGAGGTAGTGGAATTTAAGGAGTGTTTGATATTGTTCATGCTTAAGTAGAGCTGTCTAAAGGACACTTGCTCAGTGGAAAGATCAGAAGGACATCCCAGTCCTGGAAATAAGGGTGTGACTTCTTGGGAACTTAGAGCTATCCATGAAGGATAAAAGATGTCTCTAGTCACCCAAGATAATCCCGGCATCACAGCCAGCTATGAAACCCTCTCAGTGTTGTATGTTGTCATAGGTAAATAACGACAGCAGGACTGACTCCAGGGACATCTGGATCAATAGAAGAGCAGCATAAAGGCTGCAGAAGTACAGTTGCTGTGCTAAGTTTTACTATGATGAGTAATCATAGTACAAGTGGAGGTAGTGCACTTGAAATATACAAGAACCTTGTGTGTAAAGCCACCTCACGTGCATAATACTTATCCTTGTAATTCTATACTTTGTATCTGAACCTTTTTCTTAGCATGGAGAGTAGCAAATTTTCATAACATCTGGAAATCTTTGAGCTCCACAGAGCCTCAGCTAACCCTTTCTCAGGACCACCAGTAGAGTGAAGGGCTTGAAGGAGGGAGCAGGCAAGGTCTCTCTGAGCCAGAGGCACTAAGAAGTGGTGTCTCTGTGTGCTCACAAGGTGCAGGACAGGAGAGCAGGATGGAGGGATGATAGTTCTAAAGAAGAGTAGGAAAGTAATAGGAAATACTCAGAGGAGCTGTGGTGAGTATAAGCAGAATTTTTGTTAGAAGAGAAGAGTGAGTAACAGTCATCCTCCATTTCAGGTTGATTTTGTGTGGAGTGAGTTCAGGAGTGGAAATGTAATCTGAATAAGAAATGATGCTCTGAAGTGGAGATGTTGAGATCCATTTTTCAGCTTCATTATTAGAATTTGCAGTTACCTGTTGGTGCTTGAGAATGTTTTTTCTCTGTGTTGCTGATGCATGTCAGTTTGATTTTATACAAGGTCAGTCACTGTTAAAGAGTTTTAATATTAAATACATTTTTTCTAGCTTTGTTTTCTGTTCAGTTATTTCATAGGCTGAATGAAGTATTGTTTTTAACTCACAAGGCTAGTCCTGCTTATTTACTCAGGTGTATCAGAGGGGAGAGGGGCTAACTGGAGCAGGATGGTGAGTGTCTTTTATGCAGCTAGCTTTGAGGAGCTTTTGTTGGAGGTGTTTGTGTTGGTTGGCATTTAATGCTGATTGTTTTTGCATTTTAAACACATCAGGGAAGTGATAATGTGCCCTCTCAATTATAAAATTTATAGCTGTAATTAGGTGAAGTACTGTTTGAAGTTTATAAGTTATCTTCAGTCAATTTGGCTTTTCTGTATGCAATTTCTTAATGTGCAAGCTGTGAAAATGAGGTTGCATTGAAGATTTAGTGATGACATGTGATGACTGCTGAAATGTCCTTTGTCATTCCATCTGCTTTTCTGCCCTAAGCATTAATGGCTTTCATTGGAAAGGTGTTTAGCAACATATTGCAGTCACTTCCAAAGGATCAGCTTAGGAAGCTGATACTCAAATGGTGCTTTTAAGGCTAACTTTCTGCATATTGATTAATGTAAATCATACTGAGTAAACGTGACTGATAAAGGACTTGTGGGAGCTTTTGAAGAGCTTGTGAACAAATTTTACACTAAGTTATTTGTAGAATGTGTAAAACTGATCTCTGATTCAGTAATAAGGTTATAAAAGGTTGCAAATGTAGTATTGGGAGCTTCTGTCTTCATTTACTTGTTCTTTAATGTGATCAATGCCTTTTTTTCTTTCCTTAAAGAAACAAAAATGTTGTAAAGTATCTGTTAAATCAAGGAGCTGATGTTAACCTTCGTGCGAAAAATGGATACACAGCTTTTGACCTGATAATGCTGCTGAATGATCCAGGTATGCTATTTCAAAATGCTGTGGAGAAATGCACAATATAAACAAATATACATTCCTTCCAATCTAGAAAATACATTGCAGTTGCTAGGAAGTATCCTCTCATGTCTAGGCCAGACTGGACCAAGAAAGGACACTGTCAGAAAGTGGTGGGGTTTGAGTTAATTGATTAGATGAGTGTATACATTTATGGGATAACAGATTTTGTGCATTCCTCTTGCTTTTGGTTCTGAAGATGCTTGAAAACGGTGCTGTTTGTGTCGCCAGAGCCAACTGTGTGGCATTTGATTGTGGGGGCACTGGTATTCTGTAGTGCCATTAGCACAGAGCTATGAGCTGGAGCTAGAAATTGCCCCTTGACAAAGAGCAGCAAAGGGCCAGGACAGAGAGAGCACAGTGGGAACAGAACTAGGGATCTCCTGACTGAACCTCCAGCTAGTTCTGTAAAGGCTGAGAATAAATCACACCTCAGGGTTCAGGTTGTTTGTGTGGGAGTGCTGTAGGACAAGACAGCATGCTTTGGGGAGGCTTGAATGAAACACATTTAGTTTTTGTTGCAATTTGTTTTATGTACATAATTTGTTATTGTTAATCTTCCTTGGTACCTGAATTGATTTATCTGAAGCCAAAACCCATTACTGCTAATGAAGTCTCAGAATTTACTCCTTATGGTGGTCATGGTTACTAGCAGATTGTTTTCTATGTCAAAGGTAGATCACTAATAGTACAACATTTTAGACAATAAATACAGAGAATTATTTTAGACCTAACTTCTACGACAGAATAGTTTGTCTCGCTACTTCTTTCTCTCTTGTTCAATTCTCTTTGCCTTTCTGAAAATCCTACCTGACTCCTGTACAAAATGCAGATTTACAGAATTTTTTTTTTGCTTTCCTGTCTCCTGTCATGCTTGTTCTTTTTTCATCCTCTTACTTTTTTCTTACCTCTTTTTTGTCCATCTTTTTTCTTACCATTTCTTTTCAGTCCCTTCATTGTCCAGGCTGAACATCTTCTTTCTCTTTGGGATTTACTTTCGAACTTCTTTTCTGCAACTTACGCTTGAAGAAAGAATATTCATTTTTCTCTACTCTCTTCTGTGCCAGGTGAGAAAAGGGAACATCTCAATATTGTTCTTAACTTGTACAAAGTGTGAGAGAGGGCAGTTCACTTGGTCACACGTGACTGATTCCAGCTGAGTAGCGTGCGTATTTATATTCATAAATACCTTTAGAGAGATGGTAAGACTGCAGCCCAAATTTTGGGGAGAAGACATGGGAAAATAGGTCAAGAAAGAAAGGTTTGGGGGTTCATCTGCTTTGTGTTTGAGAGGTAGATCAGTTGCTACTTATACGTGGTTTACAGGGAAAATGTCAGTGCATTGGTTGTAATTCGGGAAAGCAAAAGAGGCCAAACATTATCTTAATTTGCTTCCTTTTAGATACAGAGCTTGTAAGGTTACTGGCATCAGCATGCATGCAAGTAGATAAAGACAAGAATAAAGTGAACAACAGGTCATCTCTGCCTCGTTCCAGAAGTAGGCAATCCTTAAATGTCCCGATCTTGCCAGATGACAAAGGAGGCCTAAAGGTAAATATATTAATTCTTGATAAAACTTCATTAATTCCTGAAATGTATAAGCAGAAAAAACAATTGCTAAGTCTTTTGGATCTAATATGTAACTGGGTTTGTTGGGTAGTTGTGTGTGTTTCTGAATTCCTCGTTGACACTATGTTCTGATTTTGTGGAGTGTAGCAGGTATTCAACTTCCTTTTCATCAGGTAGCAAGGCATTGAAACATTTGCATTGAAGCATTTCAGTGCCTAGAAATAGATCTCATGATTAAGTGGAAGGTACCATGTTAATAAGTTTGGAACTCAATTTCCATTATGATCTTGCTTTTAAATCTGGACAGAGGGTAGACTCCTTCCTAGCCATAAATGGTAACAGGCTATTGACATTGAAAATTAAAAAAATCATAGCAGAGATTTTAATTTGAAGCGTTGTGGAGGAGTGTGTACTTCAGTCTTACATGTCATCTGGCTTGCTGTGTCCTTAACATAGAACTGATGGTGGCCCAATAGGAAACAACATAGAGTTAGACTAAGTGTATGCCAGCTAAACAAAGATACTCCAACTTTCATTGACTGAAAAAGAGAAGGAAGAAGAGTTAGTTTTGTTGTTGCTGCCATTGTTGTTGCCTGTTTCTGGGCATCAGTTTATTTAATGAATAATCTTTAATTATGGTGCATGTGTCGTGTACCTCAGAATTCTCTGGAGTCCATGATGTCATCCTTTAAGTATAAGTATTACCAGGATCTTGAAAAAAGTAATGTTAATTTCCAGGCTATTTTTGACATGAATTTTAAAGACCATTTAAAGTTCTGCTTCAGCTCAAATCTGTTTTGCAGTTTTAACTATAAAGGAACATGTGATTGTTTTCATATGATTATGCTATCATTCAATATGATACAACTTCATTGTCAATTTAGACAGAGCTATTTTACATAGATGGGAGACTGTCGGAATAGTTTTTGGCTGTATGGAATACAGATCAGCAGTGGATTGGATTGCAACCCTTGCAGTGTTATGACACAAAGGCTTTAATTAGGGTCATAAAAGTTTGTGAGGTGAAAAAAAAACTAGTTGCCCGTGATAAGGATACAGGCACAATTATTGACAAGAATTTAATATTCTGGAATATTTAAGTATTTGGCCTCAAAGCTACAGAGTATTACAGTGCTTACTAGTCATTATCAAACTCTTTTTCAGCAGAAATTGTATTCTGTATAGTTCTATTAAAAATACAACCTGTAAGCCTATGTAATCCATTCTTCCATCACTTCTTAAGGCTTTGCTAATCAGCCTGTCTGACCATGAGTATCTTACATACCTTACATATCTTACTCTTCTTACAAATACTCCAAAAGGATAAAAATGATATTTTCAGATTTTCTGCTGGAAGGCAATGTCATAATAGGCATGACTCTTTGGGACAGTATGGCTGTGGTGAGGGGACCTCTCCTGGGATTTGTAGCAACTGTGTTTCTGTGTGAACAGCTGCTTGGTGAGCTGGAACTGTGAACAAAAGAAACTTATGGCAACTCTACACCATTGTTTTGTTTAGATCAGTGCAAATGACTGAGTGTGGGGTCTGCAGGATCATGGAAATGTGAGAGTGAGAGGGAATTCATGAGGCTCACTTGCCTTAGCATCAGGAGACAGAACAAATACACCAAGAACATCTTTGATAGATATTCAGTTCACTCTTCTTTCACTCTAGTGAAGATTCCCATATCCCATGGTTTCTCCATTAGCACCCAGTTCCACTGCTTGATGCTTTTTTGGGTTAGAATTTTTTTCACCCTGAAATTTTTCCTTTTGTTGCCCATTAAATTGATTGAATCTTGTTCAGTGGTCACCTTCATTTTTGTAAGAAATGTATAAATACTTGAAGAACTATAATATTTAATATTTTTTCTAGTCTAAACAAAATTGATTAATGCAAATTTCCTTGTTTGTATGTTTTGATTCCTAAACTTTTGACTATTTCTAGTATGTATGTTATCTGTCAAGATGAGGATTCTAAAATGAGTGGTGAGATTCTGACCAGGGTCACAGTATCATTTAGTGGCATACAAAAACTCTGTCACAGATGTGTTTCCTGTTACCAGTGAAATTCACTTTTTTTTGCAGCAGTAACACTGTGCATCTATACTGAGCTTCTGCTATGTTGTGATTGATTTTTTTCTTTAGTACACCTGCTTATTTCCTTGCTTTTTTTTCCTACATTAGTACACTTGATTTCTTCTTGCATGCCAGCTTGAACCTCCACTGAAAAATGTCAGTTTGGCAGTGTTTAGAGTGTTAAAGGTGATTACAAAACTGTCTAGATGGATGTCTTCCTTAGACTACAGAAAAATACGTTGTGTTTCATTGTTGCAGTTGTTAGTGAACATTCCCAAACCTATTGCACAAAGTATGTTCTCCCAGTTTGAGATCAAATAATTTGCATTTTGTCTCATTTTTTGGCTGTGGTCTTTTCCCTTTATTAATTTTACTTGAACCATATTTTTCTTAATTGTTTGATGAATGCTACATGAAATAGCAATAAAAGCTTTAATAAAGTCAAGCTGCGTTCCAACTTTTCCTCCCTTCTGCTCACTTGACTAGTTATTCTGTCAAAAAGAGATTTATTTGGTAGAGTTTATTTTCAACAAACCTATGCTGGCTGTGTCTTATGAGCTGTGACGACATAAGAAGTTTTTTCAGTTATGCCTTTTCATGGTAAGCATTTTGATCAGTAAATTTTCAGATTTTCCCTTTTCAGTGATTGTATATTTGCCTTTTGCCTGATTTCTGTAACTTCTTCCATACTTTTTAGTGAAGATAATATTTATTCAAAGGTCATGTTGCCTATAATTAACCTGGGGTAATTTTAATCAATATTGTCTGGTTCTAATTTGTCTGGTTCTCATTTAAATACTCTTACTCTGTTAAGCAAATGCTGATGTATTCCTGCCTTCCTCCTGTTAATGGTACTCATACTAAAATACCTGATTACAGCTAGGCTGCTTATGAAGTTTAAAAATATAAATGCTTTTCAGTTTCACCTCTTCTTTGAGCACTTTTGTCATTAACTAGTAGACTTTTTGTGATGTTTCTTTTATTTTTAGTTTGTGCACTGTATTGGCCCCTATTCCTTTACCTGCTGATAACATAGTGGATATTAATGATCTCATTCTTCACCTCTATCACACAAGAACTGTTAACTGATCTGTTTCTTACCATTTCATGGCCTCTGTGTGAATCAACACGGGTGGGTAACCAAGGCAACCACCAAGCCATAGCTGAAATGCAAGGAGATTTATTTTGTTACCTCAAGGACAAGGCTGGGTACCAGAGACGCACAGGGACCCAGGCTCCATCCAATAGGTTTAGTTCATCCTCTTAAGTAAGGGCTTCGGGTGTGGCTGTGAGAGTGTGTTACCTCTGCACAGAAATTCTACTTCTCCAGTCAGGCAGAGGATGAACAACACCAGGCATAATGAATGGAGTTTTCCACACCTACATTTTTCACATTCCCAGCTGAAAGGTCACTTTGAGCAGGAACCCTTGCCTCCTCTTATTTGATTTTAACCCTTTCCTCCCAAAAGCCTCAAAACCAAAGTTGTCCCTTTTCCATATGCAAAAAATTTATTTCCTTTTTTTTTCTTCTTGCCTGTTCTTCTTCAGCAAATTACACTCTCAATGTCAGTCTTAGAGCAGTGTGAATTACTACATTCAGTTTCTCTTCTAGATTAAAATTATTTGAGGGCAGAGATTTCCAGTTCTCCCCCTTAATCTTTTATTCCTAGCATTTTTACAAATGTCTAAAGTATTTCTAAAATGGAAAAGCCATTTTTCTAGTTCTTTGATACTGTTGCCTTCTCCCACTGCTGCTAGATTTCAGCCTTTTTATAGACACTATTTTTAACCAGGAATGAATTTTTGTTACTTGAATGCGTCAGTGTATTTAAAGCCCTTTATTACAGCTTCTGTACATGTGTGATGCAGTGGGGGTATATGGAGAGGCTGCAAACTCCTACAATAGCAAACTAAAAACTCCAGAGATCAGACCATCATACTGTGAACACCAGAAGACAAGGTGAACCTCTCCAGTGCCATGACTTTCTTGCCAGAGAGCAGTGGTCTTTGTCTGGTAACACAGTGACTGTATTTACTCAATTTTGGGGTAGTTTGTGGTGTGAGTCTATGTTCAGAGAGCAGAAGCACTGTGGGTAGGATTAACAGAGATGATGGGCAGTTAGAAGTGATCTTTCTTACAGAAAGCAAGGTAGCTTCAGTGACCAAAACCAAGAAGTGCAAGCACTCTCTTTTGTAAACTCATTGTAGTCTATGTTAAAACTAGATGAACTTCCAATTCCTTTTGGAAGGTGAATAAATGCTGAACCGTGGGTTTTATTGCTTTCTCAGAGCTATTTGTCTCTCTTGCCTTTTTTCATCAGATCTTTGTTGCTGAAAGTAATGGAAATCTTTATTAGTTGTGACACCAAAGAGATACAGAGGTCTGAGAACTCTATGCATTACTAATGCTGTGTGCAGATCTAAATGTTTTTAATGGTCTTCTGCTACAAGGATTAATATGTAGAGAATAAGTATAAAAAAGTTGCAAAGATATGTATGAGTGAGTAGTTGAAAAATATTAAATGCCAAGAAGAGAGAAGAATATGTATTGTGAGAAAGGGTTGTTACCTGGATTTGCTATCACTTAAAGCTACCCCGATGAAGTGTTGTTACTTTAACATTAGTTTTTAAAAAAAAGTGTTCCAGAAAGAGAAGGAGAAACTTAATAAAGAAATAATCAGAAGGTACTTACAATCTGATTTACCTAGAAGGTACATAATTTTTTGTGCAAATGGCTTAGGTTTTGTATAGTCTAGAGAAATATCTGACTGATGATATTTCTCTAGACTATACAAAAGAAGCAACTTGCACTGTCTGCCTGTAAAAATGTGCAGGTCTGTGAATATTTGAATAAATTTTATTTTGAGCAAAGTCTTTTTGCAGAACAGTTTCCACATATGTGATATGTGTATGGATGGAGGTTACAGGTACATAGTCCTAAGGTCCTATAGGTACATAGTCCTATGTTGTTTTCACAGCTGTTGTTTCCTTACCTTGCTCCTTTTCAGTTTATAGTCTTCCCAGTCTGGTTAAATTATCTATATAGAAACACTGTATGGATGTGGACCTTTAGTTTGACAGAAATATTATCAGAACTCTTACAGTTTGCCACTGGTTTTGAAAATCTTGGCAAGAAGCTTACATAAGCTAATACAGATTACATAAGCTCAAATGCACACCTATAAAAAGCATAAAATAGAGATGCCACTCATTGATTCCAGAGAGAGTAAAAATCTATGGTGAAATTGGAAGTTAATGGGAAAATTAAATATTTTCTATGTAGCTGCAAAAATTCCCTATTCAAATTGCCCTAATACTTCTATCTACTTTGGCCTTCCAGGTGCTGTGGAAAAACTTTAAAAAATATTTTCCAGGTGAAAAATAAGGGAAGAGATAATTATTACACATGCAAATTACACTGAAGGATTCTGTTGGTAACTGCAAACCACTTTAGCATTGCTTTTTACCTTTTTTCAAAAACTCCTTGGTGAAATTATCACTTCTCCAATGATTGCTTAATTATGCATCTCTTTTCCTCTTTTATTTTTCCCTTTAGTTGTAATTAAATTGTTGTGTCTTCTTTTCAATCTAGTCCTGGTGGAGCAGGATGTCCAATCGATTCCGCAAGCTGAAGTTGACTCAGACATTGCGCCATGGATTTCCTTCTAATCAGTTTGTGCCTTTCCCGGATGAGACTGAACCATCATTAAATTCCACTATAAAAGTAGCCTCACAGAGTGATACAGACATCTCTGGAAGCCTTGATGCTGCTCCAGCTTGGAACACAAATAACAAAGCTAGTGGTAAAGGCAGAGTTGTCTTGTGGGAAATGAGTTCTTGTGGGGTGGTCCGGATGATATTATTTCTGATTTATTGGTTTAGTTCTGCTTTAGCTTAGTATAAGTGAAAAAACGTAACGTATTTGTAATCTGTAGAGAGATGTTTGTACTCGTTGTTGATCGTGCTGAGTGCAGTAGCATTTAAGCAGGAAAATACTAATAGAAATATGTTACTGTTTTTTAGTAAATGCCATTAAATTAAGACCAGTCACTGAAAAGTGTTAATATCTTCCATAAAAATTCCCTCCCCACTGTCTGAATGCAAAGTAAGACTTGGTTTAACTTTAGCTGAGGTGCATGGGAGTGTCACTGGAAATTCTCATACTGTGTGCGTACTGAGGGTAAAGCTGTTGATTGTTTAAAAACAATGAGCTAGGCTTAGAAACAGACGTAGAAACATGTAAAAAACAAAACATAATTTATATATTTTTCAGGTGCAAACACTGTGAAAGGAGAAAAGGACGATGAATTATTGAAAACTATGGTATGTTGCAGTGTTTTTGGTATTTCAGCCTAATTCAGAGGGTCATGTAGCTCCCATAATTTTTGCAGTTTTTTGCCTCCTGTCCAAGTCACTTCTAGAAAAAGAGCTTGTTTGTAGTCATTAGACATGAACTGATAGGCTTTGATATACCAGTAGTTCTTAGACTAGAAAGTACTAAAAGTACTGTGATATGGAAGCTGTACTGACCTCTTTCAAGAGTTATCCATACCTTTGTTTGATCAGCAATGAAATAGTAAAATAAATGGAGCAGCTGCTTAGTTGCTGACTACTATTATGAAGTGAGGAAAACATGGATGGAACATGGTACTATGGAGATGTGAAATCACTAGTAGAGACAACCGTGAAATATTTCGTTTGGGAGGTGCATTTGTGTTATTCTGCTTCTTCTTTTGTTATGCTATAGCTTTATATTCCCCTGCAGCTTTCTCCCTGGTGATGTCATTAAATTTGGCTGGTTATTATCTTTATGTTCTTTCAAAAGAAAGTTTGAGTTTTTTTGTAAGAACTTTTGATATGGCTGACTGACAGAACTCCAGGGAGCAAAATCAGCTGAGGTGTTTTTGTCTCTTTCTGCAGTACACATACAACAGGAACACGCAGTTGCTCACTGTTTCCAGTCATCCTGTCTGGGAATACAGAGAGGACTGCATTGTTATTTCTTTGGGAATTCATTGTTATTCTTGTGAAAGTCAACTTGAGCAATATTTAGCCCAGTAATGGAAGAGATAGTTTTCTGCCGCTTAATGAGCTGTATTCATTGCGTCAAATGAATAAGCATAATATTGAGGGGTACCACAATGTTCATTGGTTTCTCTGTTGTTATTATGTCTTGTGCTTCTCCTCAAATAGTACTTTTGTGTCTCATTTCTGTTCTTTTTAAATGTGTTTTCATCTTTTTGCTTAACTTAGTATTTTGAAACCACATCACCAGATCCCAGTAAACTTTCTTAAAAAGTGACTCTTCCCCCACCCTTTTCTTTGTTCTCCTTTCTCAGCTGAGGAGCAGTGCTCCCTTTACCAGGCTGCCCAGTGATAAGCTGAAAGCAGTGATCCCACCTTTCTTACCACCCTCAAGCTTTGAGCTTTGGAATTCTGACCGAACCCGACTCAGCAAGGATGGCAAAGCTGAACAGATGAGAACTGCCTGGCCACAGAAAGCAGTCAAGCACGATTTTAACAGCAGTGGAAACTCTGATATAGTAAGCAAACTAAATGTGTATGAAAGTACTGTGCTATGCCCTGGCCCTGTTGACTGGTGAGCCATTCTGTTTCTGATTAGAAATTTCTTTTAACCCACTGTTTCAGCAATGACTTGTCCATTTAAGCAGTGCTGCTTAGGAAGAATGCACATGTGTATGTAAGGAGCATAAGGAAACAAAGGTTCTGTATAAAGTGAAACAACATTTTTTAAATTTGGTTTGGTTTTGGGGGGTTATTGATTTTGTTTGGTTTTTTGTTTGGTGTGGTTTGTTTGGGGTTTTTGGGGGTTTTTTGCTGTTAACCAGAACCACCAACAGTGTGGTAGAAACTGCTCTGATTTGAAAAAAAGACCAGGGACAGTAGAAAAGAATGGAAATTGCTCAATTTTAGTAACTGAGCAGGAAGGAAGAAATATCAGTAAGACCAATATACAGACATAATATGCTGAAAATTAGCAATAGATAAAATTGTAGCAAGTAGTCATCAAGTGGATTTGAAGGCACACAGCTTTAAATTGGAAGTACTGTAAAACTGGAAAAAGTCTTGATTGTTTCTGTTTTTTATAGAAGGAGCTTTCCTGATTCTAAATGTTTTCAGTCAAAATGCAAACCAAGAGAAAAATAGGTGGTTTGAGATAGGAAATCTTGAGATAGGAAATTAAAAAACCTTGACAGCCTTCTCTTTCATAGTTGGAGAAAAAGGAGAAGTGCCTCCTCCCCTAATTGTAGACTGTAATAACTAGATGTAGAGAAGACCAGTCCAGAACTGGACTAGTGTTTCAATGTCAGTTCTAGACATGGAACAATGAAGACATTTAGGAGGAATTTTTTTCCTCTTTCTTTTTTTATAGCTAGCCTAATACCAGTAGAGGTGATTTAGGTGGAATAAGGCAGAATAAGGAAAGTGACATAACAGGAGGGTATGTGTTTATCATCCCAAAAAAGATGATTGTAGTAACATAGCTGGATAATTGGCATGTGTATAAAGTGAGGAACAGGGAGAGTAGGAGAGGACTAGCCATCAGTCCTTATGTGAGGAATGAAGGGTCTTGCTGAAGGTGTAGGAAGGAGGGAAACAGTAAGTCAGAGAAGGAAGAAGTGATTTGAGCAACAGAATAAGAAACATTAAAAAGCTGAGCTGCAAAAGGTCATATTGCAAGTGACTGGCAGTGGCCAATGGTGTAAAAGCAAAAGAAATTAAGGAGAATGTGGTTGAGGATTTGGGTAGTGTATAGCTGGATCAGTAGTGCCTCACTTAATGCAACTCAATAAAGTGGTGCAGCTGGCTGTTTAGATTGCAGGGAAATTGCATATAGAAATGCAACTGGTGGAGAGAAAATTTGTATCACTTCTTGCAGCTTAGTTTGTAAGAAACAAATATATGATGGATGAGAAGGTGGTAGCTGTTTTGTAAGATGGGAGAGACAAAGCCAGGATTCTGCAGGAAAGAAATTTCACATGTGATATTTTTTCTTCCCTACTGCTCATAATACTGTGTATATCATATCTCAGGTGCATCATATGTGCTCATTTTTGTTGGTCAAAGATTAGGAAGAATTAATGGCTTAATGTGTTGTAATTTATTTCATTGAATAAATGTATTCAGTATGTATATATTTATATAGGTATATATTCAGTATATATGTATATGTAGAATAAGATTCTTTCTGATATCCCCTTTGTTCTTCAGTGCAAGTTTCAGAACTTGGGATAAAGAAAATAGCAGTTGAAGTTTGCTCTTTATTTTTCTCAATCAAGAAAGAACAAATTATTTTTCATTTTGTTTTCCAGACATCTGTTAGCAAAGGTACTAGACCAGTCAAATTGCCAACATTTGCAAGAAGGCCAGCATCTCCTTCAAATTCCAATAACTTCAACCATTCTCCCCATTCTTCTGGTGGATCTAATAACATTGCAGGAATTAACAGGCATGGAGGAGAACTGCATAACAGATCAGGTACCATTTTTAATAAGAAAGTAATTTGTATCTGATTCAGTTAAAAAGTTAGTGTTTGTGATGATGGTAGAAGATAGTGAACTTTTTCTGAGTGCTCCTACCATTGTAGAAGCAAAGCTTCTGTAAATTTAGAGGACTCGGGACTGGACTTCAAACACTTGCATAAGGGAAGGACAGCCTTACATCTGCTACAGAATTCTCAGTGGTCAGCCCATCTCATGCAGCTGACCCATGGTGGGTCAGGCTCATTGCACCATGCATGTCATAGCAGCAGGCATAGGAGCCAGCTCTTACTTTCTGTTTGAAATAAATGCTAGTTTTCAATTAAAAGCAAAGCTGCATGCATTGTACCTAGTAGTTGTTGAAGACAATGTGGTGAAGTGGCTTATGAACACTATGTCCAAAGGTATGAAAGTCAGGTCTGTGTGTGTATAGACAGGGCTGGCTTCCCTCTTCTGCTACTGATTTCTGTTCTTTATTCTGCTGTAGAAATCTGAACCTTGCAATTGTCTTATGATTTATCCAGACAGTTTTTAAATGAAAGTGAATGTTTGAGAGTTAACAAAAGTATCGTTTCCTTTACATTTCAAAAGTATGGTTTCCTTTACTGGGTTTATTTTATTTTTTGTTCTAGGTGGCAGTGCAGATAATGTTTTGTCTCAGATTGCAGCCCAAAGAAGAAAAGCAGCAGGCTTACCTGAACAGAAGCCCAGCCAACAGCACAGTCCAGTCCAGTCAACTCCTTCATCTACTGTGTCGGATCTGCAGTGTGCTCAGGTTGTGGGCAATGGAAATGTTGTAAAGGTAATGGGAAATGTAAAATTTTGCACTCCAAATAGGTCATATCTCAGTGATGGGTGGCTGGTGCACAACACTGCACAGCCAAAAAAGAATGAACACTTGTTATGTTAGTGGAAGCTTTTCAGCTCTACAAACCTTATTTTTAAGTGCAAGTCCACAGAAGATGAAACCTAATAATAAAACATGATTTTACTTTATTATTAATTTCACTCTGTTTTAAAAAAAGTAAATGCAGTGCTTGATTTTTGGGTAGACCTGCACTATTACAGTTTCTCATTATTTCTTTCTATGGACCAGATACAGTGTTTTATGTTAGTTATTCCTGGATTTTACCCTGAAGTGGTATAGTTGGTTTCTCCAGCTAGTTTTCCTTCGAAGGCACAACCTGATTGCAGAGTATGACATAATTTGTACCAGGATATGGTGAGCACAACAATATGCACATAACCAGTCTGCTCCACTGGTGTTATTTTTAAACAGTAGGTCATCACCAAAGTCAGGTTTTGTTCCTGAGGCCGTACTGTCTGTGCTGACTTACCTGTCAATTCCCAGGAATAGCTTTGCTCTCATTTTCGTGCACATACTTTGAAGTTCTTAACTGCTTTGTACATTTTTGATGGTTAAGATTTTAAGTCTTCAAGATCTGCAGAGACACAAACTGGAAAGCAGCATCATAACAGAAGATGTGACATACTATTGAGAAATTGATGGGTTTATTTACATAGAGAAGCATTGCATTTCAGAGAGCAAGAGAAGGAAAACACAAAATTTGGGGTTTATGTTCTAAATGCCTGATATTCTGGAAATGTTAGAATAGTGAGCAAGAGCAAAATTTCTCCAACTTTTGCTTATGTAATCTCCAAGCAGCTCATTTTGTTTTGCTTTGTTTGTGTCTTTCAGTGAGATTCTTCAAATTTTACCTGAGGAAACAAAAATTACCAGAGTATAAAATTAATACTTTTGCAATCTCATTCTGTAATTTCTTATATGGCAACAGTACACAATATTTATATTTAATCACTACATACAAATGATAAATGAAATTGCAAAGTTGTTCAGAAATTACATGGAAATTTCTGGAGGACAAAAATCGGAAAAAGGTGCAACTACCAATGCTGAAACAGTTTCCATAAATAATGAACAGTCACCTTGTCGCTGATATGTCAGTCCTGATTCTGGAGGGGCTAATGGTTGCTTTTCAAAGATGAGATTGGGAGCTAAAATTTCTAACTCAGCTGGACCACCAGAGTCTGAGGATTTATACCAATTCTTTGGCCTATGGTAATCTTTCCTCCCTTTCTATCCTGTGTAACTGCTCCCTGAGTTATAAATGATCCATCTCTTTCTCCTGTAGACAAAACCCCTTTATCATCCTCTTCCCTCATTAAAGTCTTGTCTGCAGAGCAGCTACCAAATGCTTTTTCTTTCTGAGGTGGTCTGGCCAGTATGTTTTAATTAAACTCTCAGCATGTCCTCTCAGCTTGTTTTTAACTTGGAAGTAATTTCAGAAGAGCTCCTTGTGTGCCCCCAAAGTCTCATTTTTCTCCAGTTATATTAATCATCCCACCAAGAGATAATACCTGTGCCTGTGAGCTTTGGGCTGCAGATCCTGTGACCTTTTGTTGCAACAATGCTGCCACTAAGAAGTTTATCTACTGTTTCCACTCACAGTGGGATACATTAGGGGATAAAGGAGTAGTGAAGTGCAATGTGCTGCAGATCATCTTCTGGAAAGGCTGTTCTTTGTACTGTTGAAAAGATTTTTAAACAACATTTATGCCACTGTTTTGGAAAGCCAACAGCTTTTTCAGTGCTCTTGGTTTAGATGTCTGGACAAGTTTCGTTCTATCCACCAGTAACAAAACATGTCATAGTGTGGATCTCACTATAGATATTAATGTATCACACAACTGAGGTGATTTTTGGAGATTCCTGGTGGGATAACACAATCAAATATGGATCCACACTGGCTGCAAAGGCTAGCAGAGTGTTATTGTAATCAGCGATGTAAATGGTGGAAATTTAATGTCTGTATCCATTGAGGAATGGCTTGTGTTGTCTCAGTAGGCTCATGCTGTCTAAACTTGAAAATAGCTGATCTAAAAATGCAGTGATATTACACTGATTCATTTTGCAAAACTTACCCGTGAGGGGTGAGATGGTGCAAAGAAAAGAAAAGAAAAAAATGAATAACATTTTACAGGATGATGTAATTTAAATAAATGTAGACAATGTGCTAGGGAGGGATGACCATTCTGCAACACAAATGACCAATAAAATTTAGATGGAAATTTGGGACAGAAAATTGAAATGAGTTCATGATGCTTTTCAAGGAGCTCTCAAGTTTGTATCATACTACATTACTTGTAGTCAATTCAGTACAGGGCTAAGGAAGCATTACATTCTGACATAGGATAGAGTAATCGAAGAATGTTACCACTCAAATGAGTTTTATCTTTTAAATCTGCATCTTTTTCATTAACTAGAAATGTTCCATTTATGCCACAGCACAGAAGCAAAATTGTAAAGACAGGAACCACAGTCATTCTCATTTCTTGAATTGTTACCTAGATCAATTTTTTTATCAGTTTATTGCAGTAGCCTGGGTGACAAAAGGTATTTAAACTCTGAATTCAGGAATCCAGTAAAATATCACCTTCTTTTTCGGTTATACAGTGCAGACATCAAAATGTATTTGTAGATCAAAGAATTTAGGAAATGAGGTGCATTTATGGTTTTTGGAAAAGTCTGTTGATATGTGTACAAATATATATATTCTACTACCTATTTTAACTCATGTATTTTCCTGTTTTCCATGGCTACAAATGCATCAAATATTTGCTAAATTATTAATAAATCAATTGACTCCTGTTAGGTAATAATAAATTTGAGGGTTGGCTGGAAACTTCCATTCCCGTGCAGCAAGGGGTTTAATGCGCCCAAAATTTAATTTGTGCTTGCTACATGTTTCTGGTTAATCCAGCATGAAGTGCTACTTTAAATTAGCATCTCATATGTTTTGAAAATCTTTAATTGAGTCTTAAATCTATGAATGCAAATCCCTATTTTCAAGTCAAAGTAATTTATTTTGTTTCTGTTATTAAACTGTTTTTATTTCTAATGCCAGTTTTACTTCTGCTTCTGCACATTCCAAGGGAGGTGGGGAGGTGAGTGAGAGACTGTGTGGTGCATAGGTGCCACCTATACTTACACCAAGATAGTCCTTTTAGAAAAAGAAAAATTGTAGTGCTTGTGGGCAGTATTCCTTCGCAAGAAATAATTTTCCTGTTACAAAATTTCAGCCTTAATAAATGTATTTTCTTGATAATTTTGAGGAGAGAGACTTTAATCTGGGATAAAATCACTATTGCTTCTATTATTTTAATATAGGTCAAGCAGAAACTTCTGGTTGTGACTACATGCTCTCAGAAATGATACACAGCTTAAGTCATGTTGAAGGATCATGTATAGGTAAACAGTTTTGTGATTCTTTTTTAACACAAATGATTGTATCATTAACTGCAGCAAAAACTGGAGATGAACAAAAGACCTCCATCTGGGACTTCATCTACATCTAAAAGCACATCACCAACTCTCACACCTTCTCCATCACCTTCCCCATCTCCAAAGGTCCAAAATGCAGAGTCCTCTGTCTCTTCTTCTCACAGACACGCCAAGAGCAATGGCTCCAGCAGTGGTACTATTACAGAGGATGGTGAGTAGCTCACTGCAATTGCAGCTTATTCCTCGAGAATACCACGTGTTTAAAGCTATGACTATACTGGACTAGTGTGTATCTGCAGGAGAGTGAGGTCTCCCTTCTTTCTAGAAAATATATTATGGTGTTTTGTACAGTGAGATTGATGCTCCTGCACTAACTGCCTTTTTCTCTCCCAAAACCTGGCATTCTTTCCATTTTACAGAGAGACTGGTATCACCTTAAAGCTAGCATATAGGTGGCCACATTTTCCCCCTTCATGGCTTAAGTCCTGTTTGCCAGCCTTTGCTGAGGGTACAAAATGCACTTTCTCCACACTAGATTTTTTTTTTATTAGTAAATGAAGAGAAGCATATCAGTACAAAGATACATTTTTCATCCATAGCAAGTCATAACTACATGAAGTTAAGAACTCTAGTGCATTTATTTTTCTGAATTGTGAAAATAACTTATTACAACCTCTTTTTAACTTAAAGTCCTAAGAAAGAATTATGATGTTATTACTTTTCTGTAAGATTAGTATCTTTTAAATTAGACTTTTAGGTCTAGATTACAACATTTTAAAAGTCATTTACTGCATTGGAAACAGAGTATTAATAACTTTGTTTTCTCTTGTAAATGTCTCAAAAAAAAAGTGAAGAAAATAACATGACTCACAACCTTTTAAATAAGGAATGCAGGCACTTTGTACTATTTTTGTTTTTTCTGAAATTGTCTCTATTGATTTTGGTTTATTTTCACTTAGGCCAGCTTTGTCCATTAATACTGATTCCATTTGACACTGAAGACAGGTGATACTTGACTTTCTTTCTGTCCTCTTCTTATGGCTTTGCTTTGCTGGAGCAAATCCTTTCATGTTTAGTGCCATTTTATAATGAGATCTTGATAACATAAGTGTTGCTGATCTAGAGATGCATAAAAGCAAGAGAGCTCACGGTTGGATAATGAAGCAAATTCCCCAAGCCATCAGCTGCTCTCATCTCACTCAGTGAAGCCTGGTTTTGTGACCGTGCACTAATGCCAGGATACTGTGAATTCCCTTGTAGCAGGGGTTGTTTGTCAGAAACCCAAGTAGCTCTTGGTTCATTGTGTTTGTAAGCTTTTGTAGTTAAGTGCTCATTTAATTCAAGGGCTTCTCTTACTGATGTTCGATTCAGCAGCAGCAGTACAAATGCTGATATGCCAAGCAGTAATGAGAAGAATAAGTACAGAAGGTCTGTAGTGTTAACTTTTCTTTCAAGTGAACTTAAATGAATATGAAAATTGACTGTTACTGTGAAGGAACAGTAGGCAGCAGCATTCAGAGGTGTTCTTTGTTTCTTTTTAGGCAACCATTTGGTGGACCATCAACAACTTGGCCCTATTCTGAGAGCCAGTGATGTAGAGAATTATGAAAGACGAAACCATGTGAGAGTAAAAGAGGGCTCTGAAAACCTGGAAAAAGGTAATCTTACCTTCTACTATAGAGCAGTATGAAAGGAGGTGCTAAATAAGAGTAACATGGCAAAAGCAGTAAGAGCTCCAAGAACATTAGCTTGCTCCTGGCATGGAGGTAAGCAGACGATGTAAGTGTAGAGCAAATAGAGTGGTGAAGCACAGGACAAACATGTTAAACAAGAGTTGTAAAACTGAGAGGTTTCAGGGTTTGTTCAGCCTTAAAGTAATAGTACAGGAACTGGAAGAGGGGTAGAGGAAGAGAAACCATTAAGGGCCTTCTCTGAAGGCCTTCTCTGTGTGTGAAGGATGTTTGGTGTTATAGTTGTTTATGACAATAAGACTGAGCTCAGACACTCTGAAGGTTTCTTCCTATATCATGGCCTACAGTTCTAATCACACCAGCATGATGAAAAATGAGTAGGGTAACTAACAACCTCTAAGAAAAAGCCATTAACAATATACCTAAAGGTCATCCAATGAGAATTCTCTTTTCTTTCTCTCAGATGCTATTTTTCATCAAACAATATAGAGAAGTTCCCATGATACATTTTAAAAACTGATTGCGTTTTCCCATGGATTAATGTCAGGGTACTAAAGCTTTTAGTCTGAGACCATGTCAACTTTTGCAAATCATGTTAGGCGTACCAAGTCAATTCAATTTAAAGTTAAAAAAAACCCAACAAAATCCTAGCAGAAAATAAGACTTAACTAGAATTTTTCTCTTCAGTTGTCTGTGGACTCTCCTATGTAAAGAAGTCTTCCAAAATAGTACACAGAGGTGTGTTTATCTCAAGATACTTGATGTCTTTTGAGAAGCTTAGAATATGAGATTCTCTTTCATATTTCTAGTGATGATGAAAGAAGAGGGAAAGTCAAAAGACAAAGAAGTGAAATAAGTGAAAGCAAAGTATATTTGGTAATGGACTAGTGGTGTCTTTAAAATGAGAGTTAGTTTATATGCAGAATATTAAATGTAGTCTTGTTTTATAATGTAATAATTCATGTTCTTCATTTGGACTCTTGACTACTTAGTACTTAAGGATTAACTTAAGTACTAAGTACTTAAATACTTAACTGACCACTTAGGTACTCAAGGGGAAAAACCAGCTAGTTACTTGTGACAGCAAAGTAATAAAAAGTAAACTTAATAGTAATAAAAAGAAAACTTTATGTAGTGTGTGATTAAGAAAAGTAATGTCAGGTTTTTCTGAAAGTGCACTTATGCTCTTTAGCTAATCACATTTTTTTAAAAGTGTAGGAAGAATCACTGTCGGGTCCTGCAACATTTAATTCTCTTAAGCTTTTAAAGGAAAGACAGTATTCAGAGCTCTTAGCCTTGGAAAGTGGCCTTGTAAAACTTAAATTCTCTCCAGTTTTCATCTTAGCTGGACTTCAGCTGTCGTTGTGCAAGGTGCCTGGATGTTGGGCACATAGGAGAAGAGGGTTCAGAACGACCTGTGCTGTATCAGTGTTTTGAATGAGCAGGTGTGTGGTTACTTGCTCTGCTCTTTGCCTTCCTGGATGATGACATAGAAATAAGACTTCCAGTTCCTTGCCTGTTTGAGGAGTTCTGCAGTCTAACCTGCACAATCTGGATCAGCCATCTGGGGCCAAGCATCTGCATTTTAGGCATTGAATTTGCCCTTACTGGTTTGGTTTTGTAAGATCCTTTTAATGAGCTAGAAAGGGCAATACAATGGTGTTTATCCTAGCAAGGTGAGACTAGATGGAATTACGGTGTATGTAATTAGGTGAGAACAGAGTAAGCCAATGGTTCAATTTCTGAAGGAGAATAAAGGGGTTGTTTTTTTCTTGCCATAAATGACTATGGAAAATAGAGGCTTTAATATGTCTTTTCAGTTTATAATGCTGAGGTCGTTACAATATTTTCTAATCTATGGAGTTGACTTTTTTTTTTTCCCTGTTATTACAGATGAGCTGACTGGCATCCTTAAAAAACTGTCGCTTGAGAAATATCAGCCTATATTTGAGGAACAGGAGGTATGTCTTTTCTAAAAGATCTTTTACTGTTTTAATGAAAGTAGGATATAAGGCGTTGCATCAGATTTGTGATCCAGAATCAAGTTCTAAAACTAGTCCTGGTTGCAGAAAGAACTTTGACACCTGGACCAAGTGGTATTTGTGGCATTCTCCAGAATAATGCAAATAGCAGAGCTTTTTACACTTAACCTACAGCTTTTCTATACATAGAGGTTTTTTTGTCTCTGTTGTTACACTCTGCTTTTTGTATATATGTCTGTATCCAATGTGGCTAAACAGTTCATAGGATATACCGTATCATGCCTGGAATCATAGCTGAAACCTAATTTTTTAGAAGGAGAGCAGCAGGGTGTGAGTCACTGAGACGGCTGCTTTAGCTTCTTTATCCACTGTGCATAAGCAATAGGAGAATTAAAGTGGGGAGCGTAGGCATCATGATAGATTAGAGCTGTGACATTGACTTGCTGAAGGATGCAATGACAGGAAATGTTGCTGAAAATAAGTAAAATTAATTAGTTCCAATGTTTAAGTCAGGATCAGATGTGAGCAAATACTGTGTGTTTATTTGATCAAAGAAAAGGGTAGTGAAGGGACATGCCATAAGCTGACATTGCTACAGAGTTCAAAATTCAGCACAGGCCCAGATGATTTAGCTTCATCACAATAGATTGGGATATTATTGTTCCTCTACATGATAGGCAGTGGAGCATTGTGTAGAAATTAATATACTTAGTGTGGGAAGGTTGTATCAATGTGAAAAGTTTCAGATTTTTGTTCTTATCAAAACCCTATGGATATGTTGTAATAATAAAAACTGTTACATGAACAAAACCTAGGTTTTTCTCAGGAGACACTGGAAAAGTATACACAATATTCTGAAGTTCCAGAAATACTTAGGGGGAAAGGATGAAGAAAAGAGAGAAACCTTAGGTTTATTCAAGTAGCTGCCACTGTAGGCAGAGGAATTCCTGTGGAGACTATATATTCTGTATTAACAGAACTTGATGGGCAAAAAACCTAAAAATCCATTAATATTTTAGGTGTACTATCATGGTTAGTTGAATGATTAACAGCAGATTAGAAGCCTTACAATCAAGTGGTAAAGTGTGTACCATTTGGTGCTGGTAATTAATGAAAAATTCTTTTTGCACAATATTTACATTAAATCTACGCAATTAAAAAAACCCAACAAACCACTTTTAACCTGTAGTAATGAATCTTCACGTCTTACCTTTTTTCTTTAATTTATTTTTTTTTTTTAATATGCAGGTGGATATGGAAGCTTTCCTCACACTTACTGATGGTGATTTGAAAGAGTTGGGTATTAAAACAGATGGATCAAGGCAGCAAATTTTGGCAGCTATTTCTGAACTGAATGCAGGAAAGGTACATTTTAAAGTACTGTACTTAGTAAATTATTTAAAAGTTTTTATAAAATTACCTTTTGAAATTCAGTTACAGGTGTTTGTTAGAAAAGGTAAAATAATTTTTTCAAATGTAGTGTTTCGTGTATTTGACTAGTAAAAAGTCTTCCTTTGTGGCATTTCCTGTTCTCTTTCAACAACTCTTTCCTAGTCCAGTGAACAAGCTACTTGTAAACATGAGCAATTTTGCAGTTTCTGAATATTGATTTCAGCAGTGCTAAAAAGAATCATCTGGCTGCAATAGTGCAGCTAGAGAATGCAGTATAAGAGGAAGGGTGTCCTTTAGTCAACATAAAAGGTTTTGATTTGTCCATGATTATGTGAATAGCTTTTCTCTCATTTCATACACTTTTATTGCCTTGGAATTTTATGTTGACACAAACTAATCTGCTAAGAATGGTGTACAGTAAACATTGCTCTTGCCAGAGGGATTTTATACTTGAACATGTCTTTGATTAGGCTTGCTGATGCTTCTCAGCAGCTTTCTTAGATTTGAGGTCCATTCCCTCTCTGATAGTGGAAGTTCAGACACACAAAGACAATTTCTCTACATCAGTATCAACAGTAGTGATGAGGCTAAAAATTAGGGGAGGTGGATGATGTTTCATACTAAGATATGCCATAAAGAATAGGAAGAAAATAATGGAAATGTTTCTATTGTTGTCTGGTAGTTTCAGAAAAAGATTACAAGTTTTTCTATATATGTCTGTAAGGTAAGGATTTGTTATTATTTCTGATAGTATATGGAACATAGACACACATATTTACACATTTGTTGTAAATTATACATTTGTTGTGTACTCTTAGTAAATTCGTCTTTTAAACAGAAATTTAAGAATACCTTCTTTTATTTTATTGTTCTTTTACAGGGTCGAGAGAGACAGATTTTACAAGAAACTATACACAACTTCCACTCTTCCTTTGAGAGTAGTGTTAGTAACACACGACCACCAGGTCATTCCCAATGTAAGTAGCACCTGAAATTAATGAAAAAATGTATTGCAGGTTGAATCACAGAATGACAGTATCAGTTAGGTTGGAAAACACCTCTGAGATCACACAGTCCATGACCAAACACCACCATGCCAACCAGATCATGGGACTGAATGCCAAGTCCAGTCTTTTCTTAAACACCTGCAGGGATGGTGACTCCATCATCTCCCTGGGCAGCCCATTCCAATGTCTAATCCCTCATTTATTGAAAGAAATCTTCCCAATGTCCAAATGTGTGGATATTTTATTTAGTACTGGCTGGAAGACAGAATGTGACAAACAAGACAGCTGCTTTCCTGGCGGATGATGTGTGTCTCTTGCTGAGACTGTAGAGAAGATTTCAGTATAAAAAGTAGAGGTATCTGTAAGATGTTTATGCACCCTTCATTACTATCTGAAATAAGGATAAGATTTTTGTTGTGCATTACTAAACACAAAAATGGATGTAAGTATAGCAAACCAGAGTATACCGTATACTATCTATAGTGTCTGTATGTATATATGTAGCATCAGTGGGAGGTGTTCCTGTATGATACAAAATTAACTTTAGCATACTCTTTATAGGAGACACTTCAGTATGATCAGGTAGAATGAATATATTCAAGATTTACAATTTAACATAATGATTTAGGCAGCTGTGTTAATTATATATTTATGTATGTATGTATTTAGTTATTTTGCATAGGTGATGTTTTTATATGATTATCTATAGTTGGTTTCTTTGGAATACATGTATTCCAAGCACCAGTGTTATGCTAGCCAAGCTAGAGAAACTGCCTTTTAAAATGTACTGTCTGTAACCAAAACATACAGGAAGGTGTTGCTGACCTGTAATAATTGAATACATTTCCTACACTCCCAGATATAAAAACTGCAAATATCTGTCCTGCCAGCCACCTGAAACAAAGGCAGATACTCATCTATTACTCCAGATTAAAGCATAGGGTGTAACCTATTCCCACATGCACTTCTATATCCATGTTTTAGTAGAAACAATGAAAGCCATTGAATAGCCTTGAGAAGTTCAACCGTGTTGAAAGTGCTTCTTCTTCAATTGTTTATTTTGCTGCTTTCATCTACTCACAAAATAATTTCATTTGTTTAGGGGCTATGCTAAATAATTCAGGTATTGTATGCTTCAGGAAACATTAATAATGAGCTAGTCCCAGTTGTTCCAGTCTCAGTCAGCTGCATTTCACTGGATATGTGAAAGCAGGTGCTACCTGTTGGCCTACTAATGTCTTGGGGCAAACTGGGGATTGCTTGGGTAGTTAGTGAATGTGGGCCACTTCCAGTGTTCTGTGTAGTCTGCTTGGCTGAAGGCCACTATCAGGTGTCTCTGTTGCATTGTGCAACTTTCCATTCTCAGCATAGTCAGCATGTGTGGGAACTTCTGGATGTCTCTTGGTAACATCCCAGAGCTGAAGACCTCTTCTGTAGGTATTACTAGGTGAGCAGAAGCTGTTTGGGATTTGATTACCTGATGCAAAGAACTGGAATTACTCAAGAACCAATTAAGCATAGAGGTGTAATGTATCTCCAAGCAACTTGCTGACCTTAAGTGTCTTGAAGACATCAAAGGACAAGAATGGTGGATCACAGCTGAGGAGAACATCCTTTTGTAAGAATGAAGGCAACAGTTGCTCTGGTTGAGCTTTTGACAAGAGGCTGCAAGAAGGCTGCCATAAGAGATCTGGCTTTTGGGTTTTTGTGTATGAGAGCTCCATGATACAGATTTGGCTGTGAAACAGAATCAGAAGCACTAACAGAGAAGAGGAAGACAACATGTAGCTAAAAGAAGTTTCTGCACCAGGTAAGCTGCTTTTTATTGTAAAAAGTAGCAGTGGAATCCTTATGCAGTCTCTGGAACTTGAAGTAATTTCCAGGAATGTGTAATAGTTTAGAACATAAGAGCAGCTGTACCAAGTCAGATCCAAGGTCCATACAATTGTGTTGAGTTTTTTCATCCAGTCTCATCTGACACTGATTTGAAGAGCTACTTGCTTTCATTTGCTGTGAACTTGCCATGTCCTGACTTCTTTTGCTTCATCATACTGGATCAGAAGATACAGTGAGCAATTGTTTCCTCTTCACTGCCTCCATGCCAATGATGATTTTAGAGATCACTGTGATATCCTTCTTCATTCATGGTTTTTTCGAGGGGAAGGCTTATAGGCTGCTTTGTCATTCCCTGTACCATAGATTTTCTAGCCTCTTTTCCTTTTCTGCTGTTATCTTTTCAGACCTGGGAGATACCAGCCTAGCATACAGTGTTAAACATGTAGGCATATTACGGATTTACACGACAGACAGATGTTTGTTTTTCAGTTGTGTTCTCTGCTATCCATTCTCTTGCTCTTTCCTAGTTACTTCTGGTACTTTGATGTGTTGGCTATCATTGAAGACTGAATTGGTAATAATTCAAATTTCCTCTTACAACCCAGCTGATCTACTGAGTTTGAGCTCACAACCTATAGTTTTATATAAACACACATACATCATCTTTTTCATTTGCCTTACTTCATATTACTTATCTTCGTATTACTTTATCTTCAACAAATTTTGTCACTATCTTATTGTTTAGGCACAGATGTCATATGAAGTCTTTTTGCCAGTCTTCTGTTTACCTTTCTTTTTACTTACATGCATAACTTTGGAAAGTTTTCCCCTTCACTCTCTGTGCCCTTTCAAAATCATATATTGAATATACTGTTCATATCCTGAATATCCTCATGCAGATGCCTGTGAAATAGTAGTGATGAATGTCTCCACTATGGAAAAAATCATTATTTACTGCAAACTTCTGTCCTCTGCCTCCCTAAGAGTTTATTTATCTACACAAGAAATTTTATTTTTACCCTCTGGGTTCCTTATTATCTTAAGGGCTAACCTTGAACCTTGTGAAATGCCTTGTCAAAATCCAAGCATCAAATGGACCTCTTTAATCTACAAGACTGTTGGCACCTTCGAGGAATTCTAGTAGGTTGGTGAGGCAAGACTTCAAAAATCCCTTCTTGATTGTTTCCAACAAAATTTCAGATTGTTACAGGCTTTACTACTCTGGTTGGTATTACTGTCCATCTCACTGGTCTCTGTTTCCCTACATTTCCTGTTGAACCATTAAAAAGATTTGCATCGCTGTTATCACATCTCAGCTATGTGGCAATTTAAACAACAACCTGTGTTCTGTACACAGCAGTTCAGCTGCCTAGTCCTGCTTCTTCCATGCCTTAGAAATTTGCTATTACTTGCTTTGTGTATTTGTTTCATATTCTTTTTTGCTAGTACTTCAGGTTAAGCTGTCTTGGACTCCCACATAAAAGTTTCTGAAATGGAATCCTTCCACCCCACCTCATGCCAGGGACACTAGGTTGGGCTGTGTGAATTCCTTGCTCCAGTCCTCGCCTGACCTGCATAAGGCAGAGAGTGATTCAGAGGTTACTGGACATTACAGTAAATGATTCAGAGGTTACTGGACGCCCAAGCCATTAGGTTTGGAAGCACCATGAATTCTGAAGAGGCAAACAGTACTTGCATGGGGAATGTTGCCTCCATCTCTTTTTTCAATGGAAATTAGTTGTCATTTTTAGAAAATACTGATAAAATTATTCATTCCAAGAGTGAAGGTTTTAGCGGGTTTTGACACTTTGCTGGTTTGACTACTATTGCGTCTTGGAAAATTGACAATGCACTCTGGCCATGATAAGAGAAACTACTAGGAACATACTGCTTCTGTATAGCCTAGTGAATGTGTCCAGCAAACACAGAATTACTGTTCTGCTTTGCCATTTAGAGCAGATAACCAGCCCATGGAGGCATGAGGCTCTGAAGAACAAAATCCTTTGTCTGGATTCCAACTTCAGTGAAACAGCAAGTGGCAGCATGAAGTCCAGCTTTCTGAGAGAATGGGATTTAACAAATAATATTATCCCAGGAGGATTTTCTGTTTGTGGTTTGAGGTGACCTTACAGGATTCTGGTAAAAAAAGAAAACTGGACTTTCTGAATGCCTAGTTGCCAGGACTAATTATTTAGTTTATTTTTGGGAGCTGTGTTAAGATTGATGCTCCCATTAACTGAGTGCAGTCAGGAGGTTGAGCAGATCTGACAGTGGTCAGCAGGTTAATTGAAACAAATGACACCAAAGAAGACAGAGTTGCATTTCAACACAAGCTTGCCAAATCGGAAATGAAAAGCTGAAAAAAGGTCATGTGAATTCATATGAAAAAAAAAAAAAGGAGGATGGGGGAGGAGAAAAGCAACTGAAATAATTTCCTTCAGAAGAGTAGACATAAAATCCTATGTGTTAGTTATTGTAGTTATAATAAATGTGCAAGGAAGTGTTACATGTTAAATCCTCTGATAAAAAAGGGAAACACTTCATGAAAGTTCCCTTTCCCATTTATGGCTTGCAACAGAATTTGCCATTTTTACAAAAATGACATGAAAAATGCGAGAGAGCATCCAAGGTTTATACTCAGAAGGACACAATCTTTTTCTGCTAGGATATTTCTTAAACTCATTATGAAAAATCCCATTAATATTGGTTGGAGGTAAAGCTAACTACCAGTTAAGTTAGTTTGCCTTTTAATGCCAAGTTCATTGGAATTTCTGAAAGAGAAAGATCAGCCTTGTCATTTAGTACAGGCATCCAGCTGCTCTCCCCCATCTGAACAACACTTCTGATAGGTGGGAAGAAAAGAGAAAATCCAAACATCTGGTAGAGGCAATGAGCAAAGGCAGGAGAATAAACTGAATATTCTCCAGACAAAAGTTTAAATGAAGAGTAGTTATACCTATGATGAAGAAAGAATACGATGCCATGCAGTCTGTAGTTAGTGGAAATTCTCATCCTCCAGTTTCTTTTCACATACTATAGTATGTTATATGTATCTATAGATACATATGTATCTGCAGATACAGAATTGTTTGTGTATTTGCTTTTCATTTTTGGATTCAGACTCAAAAATATCCAGTGGAAATTATCCAGCAGAGGGAGAGATTGAAGAGAGAGAAGTAAAAATAGGAGCAAAATCAATACAGACTTGCATATAAAAATCATACAGGATTCAGATAAGCACTTACTGGAAAGGTGCACATCGAGAAAAGAGGGATACTCCAAACTTTGTGGCAGTAGGTGACTTTTTCACATGAGTTTGACTTTTTATACCTTCTCCTTGAAGGAGATGGCTTAAGATGAGCAAAACGAATTACAGGATCAAACTGTTAGATACTGGTATAAAACGTACATTGGCAAATGTGGGCCTGTTTCCAGTAATAGTGGAATTACTCTCTTGTTTACAGTTGTGAGTCTTGCTGATTACAGTTTTTCAGACTTCTTTTTTTTCCCCTCTTACAGCTCCTGGCTGCTCTTTAAAACCACAAGAAGCTGTTTCTTCTAAGAGGTAGCTACTGGAACAAAAGTGGTTTTTATTTTTTATGGTGAAGCTTGGCATCTGACTAAGTAAATCCATAAAAATGAAAATTTGAAAAGTTAGTCCTGACTACACTGACATAGGATTTTCTGCAGTAACGTGCTTAAAATACAAAACCCACAGAAAGGCAGAGAAAATACTAAAGAGATTGCCCATATAGTTCAGCCTAAGTGTTGAATTGTTCAAGGCATCAGTGGTCTGAATTTAAGAAGAGCAAAGTCAGAAGAGCAGGAAGAATGGGTGAACGTGCAAGAAGATGGATGTTTCATTAAACTCTTGCCCACAGATGAAGACCCACAGGAGACCTACATGGGCACAAGTCAAGAGGAACCAAAAGCATGGAAGAAGGCAAGAAGGACACCTCAAATTGTGACCCCTGCTACATGGGGAAATACATAAGCTGAATATGCCTCTTTTGATTGGATACAGATAAAGTAGTCTAGATTGAAAATGTAATGATTTCATGGGAAGAAATAAAAAGGAGAAGTAACGCTGCATTCTTCAATAACCAAAATATATTTTATCTATTCAATATTATGAGGTTAGAGCAGCAGTAAAAATAAAAACAAAATACCTATTTGTAAAAACAGCACTTTATTTGAGTAAATGCATAATCTGTCACCAATATTTAAACAGAAAGAATGTTAAAATATTTTATATTGCTGACTAATTTTTTGAGAGTAAAACCATTTACATGATATTGGCTGGGGTTTTTTGAATAGTAACACTAGCATATCCTTAAAGATACATTTTTATAATTTGATTTTGTAGCAGTTTTGAAATGAAAGTTACAGTAATTAGAAGTAGAAATAATTTTCTGCTTAGTAAATATCATTTTTGTTAAGCAGTTAAAATGCAAATCATCAGGAATTAAAATAAAATTCATCAGAAGCCTCTGACACTATATTTATCTTTCTGAAGACTCAAGTACCGCAGGTAAGGGCAAGAAGATCTCAGAGCTCCAATTACCTGAGTGCTCTCAGTATATAACTAAAGATTTTACATTTCTCCATGCTCCTGAGACCTCATGGCTGCTTTTTATGCCTTTGAGAGGAGGTAAATTTGAGACAAAGTCCTGTATTGTGTGTCTGTGTGTCAGGGCTGGCACGGGCAGCTCTTTAAACTCTGCTGTAGGCAGCGGAGATTTGGTGGGTACCATCACCAGGGCCTCAAACACCAGTATCTCACTGGGCTGGACCAGAATTTGATTCAGTTGTTCAGACCTCCACTGGCATTTGCCAGGCCCTAAGGCATCCAAAGCACCCAGAAGGGATGCCAGACATGACACTATATGAGGGTTATGATCAGGTTATTCATTGCAGCCACTTGGACAAAGAGACCATTCAGAGATGGAGACTGTAATTTCATTGACTTGTCCTGATTTGTCACAGACTTTGAGAGGTGAAAGCTTTTTTTTTTATTCCTGTTTACTGTTCATTTTCTGTGTCCTCCTTTTCAGTTTAAATGAAAATCTTTGTTGGCAAACTTTGCTTACCTCATAATGAAAAGTGATACTTTCTGGGTTTTACCAAAGAAGAAAATCCTACAAAAACTAGTTCTTATTATGATTCAGTCTAGTGCTACAGGCTTGACCAATCTGGAGTTATTAACCTAAGATTTTGCTGAGGAGTACTGTTATTTTACAAGAAGCTTTTATAAGTTTCTTTCAATGTAATTTTCTTTTTCTGTACTTTGAGCATTAATGAAGATCTGATTTTAAATAAAGATACTGTTATCTGGAAATTATTCAAGCAGTCATCTATCGTATTTCTCATGCTTCATCAAATGCCTTAGAAGCCAGGTACCTTCTCAAGGGAATATCTTTGGTTTCCAGAGTGAAGGGGAACATAAGAGTTCATGCAAAGAGATTTCTTTAATACTGAGATCAGCTTAATTTACAATTGCTTGGCTTGTCTGATTCTGACACTAATAGCCTCAAACTTGCCACTTTATTTTATTTCAAAGCCCTCTTGGCAGTACAAGGGTACATTTAGTGGGAACAGGCTTTGTCCATTAAAACTGAAACTTCTTGTGCTATATTTAAAGCTCATTTGGAACACTTAATTTCCAGTCTCTCAGAAGTTTGTATTATTGAAATAAACTGTTAATGCAATGTCCTCCTTAAAGTGTCATAGCAAGGAATTGTTTCAAAGCAATTTTTGCCACTTGTCATTCCCAGCATTCCAGTGTGCATTAAAACTTAATGGAGTTAACACGCAGTTATAAAAACAAAAGCAAACAGATATTTGAAGTATGATTGCCATATTCCCAGCATTGCACCTATAGCATTTTAAATGGCCTCTTGCTTATCTTGAGTTTTTATTCGTAAGTATTTTCAGAATAGGTCTGTCTGGTCTTAAGAGGAGTGGGATACCAGGACTGTTAGCAGAAGCACAGGACAGGAGCAGGGTTCTTGAAGGTGATGTGTTGATGTGTTGGAAAGCAGGCCCCTTCAAGACTTCCTTATAAATAGCCTAAAAATATTCTGTGTTCATGTATACACTTGATGCATGGCTGTGAGTTCTTGTTTTTAATAAGCATTTGTGATTTTTTTCCCCACAGAATCAGTAGCCTCCAATTAGTTGGTACACAGATTTCTTGTTTTTCTGAGTTGTGGAATAAAACCATTGCACAGACAGCAGCCAACAGTGTGCTAGGTTTGATCACAACAGGCCTGATTTCAGCTGTTCTCCACAGATTTCTCCATGTGTTTTTTTCCAAGTCACTCTCTGCTGCCATTTAGAATGACATTCTTCCTAAGAATGGGAAAAATGAATAAATGGAAAATAAATTGAATAAAAAGCTAAAGATAGAAGTTCAACTGCTAGATTGGGATTTCTGGTTTTCTTTCCAGGATCTGCCTCTTTTAGGGTTTTTTTTTTGAATACTCAGAATTAATATTGATTGCCTTGGGAATCACTTGCTGCAGCAGCTCAGGATGCCAAAGCACTTACTGTTTATCACAGACTTAGTTCAAAATCTGTTGCTCATATATCTTTACTTAGAGCAAACAGAAAGTGTCATTCTCTGTGCTAGTAATTAAAAGGCATAAGCAGAGATCCACTTTTCCAGCTGCTTGAGCCACAGAATACAAAAGAGAGCTTGAGTTGATAGATGCTACTAAAACATTGTATTATCTCCTGTCATGCATTTGAATTGCTTGTTTGTTGTATGTGTCAGGCACACACACAAACTGTAGTCCTTAGCAATGCCACAGATACATATTACACAATGACAGAATGACTGAAGCTGAACGAGCCTTTGGGGTACATCTTGTCCAGTGCCCCCCTGCTGAAGCAGACCACCTAGATGTGGTTGTCTGGGACCCTGTCCAGTGGTGTCCCATCATCCAGTGAGATGCTCTTCATAGAAAGCTATCAGATTCATTAGACATGATTTCCTCTGTTGTGAATTTGTGCTGACTACTCCCAAACACCATCTTAAAATAATTGGAAGTTATTTTTAGGGTTATTTTCTCCATCACATTCCCCAAAGTCAAGGTGAGAGTGATAAGGTCCAGTTCCCTGAATCCTCTTTCTTTGTTATTTATAAAGATAGGGATGACCTGTTTTCTTACATTGTGCAGAAACCTTGGCCAATCACCACAACCTTTTAAAGATAATTGAAGCAGGTTTGCAATGACACCAAACAGCTCCCTCAGTACTTGTAGAGTGCACCACATCAGGTCCCATGGACTTGTCTGTGTCATACAACATCTCTTGGAATGCCATGGAAGGATATTTTGTCTATATGTGCCCCTCAAACAATGGATGCCATGCATACCACACCTTGGCTTATCCTTTGGTGGTTTATAGACATCCTCTTACAGTGAATTTCATAGTAGTTTGTCAGCTCTATTCCAAGCATCCCATCGTTTTCATTGCACAGCAACAGCATTCATGGTTACCATTCTCTGGGCATGTTGTGTTGCTTCTCAGTTTACACAGTGATACATAAACTTTGGGGTTTTCCTTCTAATTCTTTGGACAAAGAGAGTGAACAGGTTGCAGCTAAAATTTGCCAAAATTTTTGTATTACCAGCATTCAAGCAAATCCAGCATCATGATGAAGTGGGCAATGGCCTTTTAAAATGCTGAGTTTGTTAGGCTCTGAATATTCAGAGGAAAAGGACCTAGTACATACTGAAGACTGCAATACACCTTATATTTCCTAGCCCCGCATAACTTGACTCTTGCCACTCATCACACTGCCAAGTACAATAAAATTAAATCAAGTCAGTGCACAGTTAGGAAACAGGCTATGAGATTCAGAAACAGATAGCAAATCCTGCAATAACAGAATGCCTCTCCTTCATGGCACAGGTGGCTTCCTGTGCTTTATCCAGACGACAGACTGTGAAGTCATGCTGACTAGTCCTTGGTTCAGCCAGCCAGCCAGCAGACATGGGTCCAACTCCCAGGGAAGCCAATCGCTCCAAGTGCCTTTTTCTGCACAGCAATAATTACTTGCAACCAAACTCCTCCTTATTTCCTCTGTGTGAGGAGAGATGTACCTTCTCAAGTATCCTGAAATGTAAACTTTGATGATCAAAGATACTGACTTCTAACATTAGTAGTGTCTATTTTTTGCTTAATTTAGAGGACAGTGGTGGTCTCAGATTAGGCAGTGCCCCATGACAGCTCCTAAATGTGCTGGGTTTTGTGACAGCACTACTTAATAATGGTTTTCTACTTGTGGCAAGATGTTTGCTGAGAATTGTAATAAAAAGGAATGTCCCTTTTTACCTTTCAATAAATCAATACTGAACTAAAGAGCCAAATACTGGCCTAGTTTGTACCTGTGTAACTACCACATCCAAGCCACAGTGGATTGAAGTGCAGGGAACTGCAAAAGAATCTGGGCTAAAATAACCTAGAAATGAAGTATCCCACCTACCATGTCTGGTTGCATAATTTCTGTGCAAGCATGGTGTGCATGCAAAGAAACCATAGGTATGTTAGACAAGGAGTTGCAGAATGTGTTTGTTGTGTTGCTTTAAATATATTTTTCATTTTGTTGGTGGCTCGCCTCCCTGTTGGCATTCATTATGCCATTGTTTTAACACCTTAGAAGGCCTTGCTATTTTAATCTGATGAGTAGTTATTTGATAAATATTGCAAATGTTATTAATGGACTTGTTTTATAATACCTTCCTTTTCTGCTGGATCAAAGCAACACAAAGAGCAGTTCATTTATAGAGATGAGGGGACAAAGAGGACAAAAGAAAACTACAAAAAAAAACCCCAAAAAACACTGGAAAACCCTGACTTGGTTTGATATATCAACAAAACTAAGCTGATGATTCAGCCTGTTTATTATGTGGAAATTAGCAATAGCCTTCTCATATGTTAGCCATTATGTACATGTGAATACTTTGAATGAATTTGGGAGAACTGTGCATAAGCACTGCATGAGAAACTCCTCATTTCTCCCCTGGAGACAACATGCAACATTAAAAGCCTTGCACAGCCATTTCACAAGCAGAGAATGCCAAACAACTCGCAAATACAGAAGGCAGAGCTGATGATAGGATGGAAATCCATACTATGATGTTTTCACCTTCTATGTCTGGCTCCCCATGCTGCACTAAATTCCTTCTAGTTTACTTATCACACAGAGAGAAAATCTAGATTCTTTGTGTTGTACCTTTAAGATGTCTGGCAAAGACACACCAGTGATTTCCTAGGTGAAACAAGCTCGATTCAGGAAGTGAAGAGGGGAAAGACACTGTCCTATGCTTTTTGCATTTTAAAGTTAAAAAATTGCATAGAAAGTTTTAAACATGAATGAGAGCTGTATAGCTATATTTATGTTAGAATGTAGTATTTTTAAAATCAAAACCACACACATCTAGAAATTTCCTGTAAAAACGTAAAATAAATATTTACTTTCCATTTGCAACAACAATATTTTTGCCAGCTTTGCTGTCTCTGTTCATGTACCTGCTTTTTCAGTCTGTCATCCTAGGTTTTTTAACATTCCCCAATGAGCACATGTACCCTGTAAGTGCTTATTATCAGAGCCAAGTGCATGCTGCAATCCAGTTAATTCACTTCACCATTGTGTTGCGTTTTTGTTATGCATGTTAGACATGTATATTTATAATGCAATGAAACCTCAAGCTGAGGTCACTGGATGGAAGAAATATTTATTTGTCTCAAAAGTCTGAATAGAAGACTATGTTCTTGGCATTAGTTGTGTGGTGAATTTGGGAACGTGACGAGAAGGGAGTACATCCTGAGTTCTGCTCCTGCTTGACAACAACATGTGTGATGTTGAGTAAATCACTTTTCTGCCAGAGTTTCCCTTCACCAATAGACAGCTGGTAATGTTCCATCCTTAGCTGGTTATGCAGCCACCAGCACTGTCAACAGAAAGCTCCAAGAACAATTAACATTGGCATCTGTAGCAGACTGCTCTTTGGCATTCTTGATATTTTCTAGGTGTTGAAATGAGAGATTAAAAACACTACAGAAACATTCACAATTGTGTTGGTGCCCAGACAGGAGCACCACCATCCTCAGGCTTTTGATCATGCTCCTTCCCAAGATTCATGGTGAAAGCTGCAAGAGTCAGCATAAGGTTGCCAACTGCTAGACCAGTCTGATTGCCTTCTATGACAAAATGTCTGAATTTCGGGATGCAAGGGCAGCACCTTGACTTTTGCAAATCTTTTAACACCCTGTCTCACAGTATTCCTTTATCCAAGGTGAGATACCACGATATGGATGAGTGGATAACTAGAC